ACACACTGCAAGCTAACATGCTGCTGAATTCTCTGACACACTGCAAGCTGGCATGCTGATGACTTCTCTGTGACACATTGCAAGCTTGCATGCTGCTGGATTCTCTGTGGCACACTGCAAGCTAGCATGCTGCTGAATTCTCTGTGACACACTGCAAGCTAGCATGCTGCTGAATTTGCTGACACACTGCAAGCTAGCGTGCTGCTGGATTCTCCGTGGCACTCTGCAAGCTAGCATGCTGCTGAATTCCCTGACACACTGCAAGCTAACATGCTGCTGAATTCTCTGACACACTGCAAGCTGGCATGCTGATGACTTCTCTGTGACACACTGCAAGCTGGCATGCTGATAAATTCTCTGTGACACACTGCAAGCTAGCATGCTGCTTAATTCTCTGACATACTGCAAGCTAGCATGCTGCTGAGTTCTCTGACACACTGCAAGCTAGCATGCTGCTGGATTCTTTGTGACACACTGCATGATAGCGTGTGGTTGGCCTCTTTGTGAAACACTGCAAGCTACCCTAGTGCTTACATATTTGTGACACGCTGCAATCTAGTGCACTGTTGGCTTCTCTGTGACACACTGTATTTAACCACAAACATTTGACACAGTTTGACTACAATTAATGATGTAAATGATAGCAATAAGAATGGTGAAAATGATTTTGGATTTATTAAACAGTGGGTGTTTACTGAAATGAAAACCTAAATGTACAACAAACCAAAACAGGCAACGTTTCCTACTCAGCTATAGTCAGTCACTTACTGGCAATTTTTAGACTGGATTTTGCAATTCGGTTTTAAAGTACATTTCAGTATTTAGTGAATAAACCCACAGAATTTTCTTGGCACGTATCACATATTTATGCTGATGGAAGAAAAGTGCTACCCTGCAGCATGTAAAATTCCATACGCTTCAGCAAATCAAAAAATTCTCTAAGCACTTTTTTAAGTGGTCATGGTGCCTGAAATCTGTATGTGCAGCATTTTGCAAGAAAACTGCACATATTGAGTTTTTAACCCCTTTGCTGCTGAAGTTGTAACTCCACCTACAGCAGAATCAACTAGGTATCATTAGCGGGCCTTTAACAGGAGTTCAGGTGTTTTGGCTTTGAGGAGTCATGAATGGCTATGGCATCAGCATCTGGCTTCCGCAGCAGCCTGGCAGGAAAGCAGTCTCGGAGCTAAGGTAAGAGGGCAAACTTACCAGGGAACAGGGGTAGGGTGCTCCTAGCATCCTAACCACTACAGCCGGCTGTAAAGGTGATGATGCTTGGAGTAACCCTTTAATTAATTAGGATTTCCTTCCTGCAGTTTGTGAATTCTAGATACTTAAGGGTAGCAATGTCGAAGTACTGCAAATCAGAATAAGTAAGTGATAAAGAAAACAAGGTGGGACTGGCAAACTTACACATAAAACGAATTTATTCCTTAAGTGACAAGTGTTGAGACGAGCTTTTATACTAAATGGGAACAATACATTTTTAAAGATGTTTATACAGAATGTCTCTCAGGACAGATGTCTCTGCTTTCCAGGAGAAGCGTCAATCTGTATGTGAAATTTTTCTCACCATCATCACAATAGGCAGCTGAAGGAGCTAGATTTTGTGGGTTTACCAAACTTGGCAGACAGCACTGTGATGCAAGAGATTTCCAGATCTGTCATCAGATTGGCAAATTCTACACAAGGCAAATCTTTGAGGAAATAAATGGTTAACAGATTGAGCTGCCTTTCTGTATAGAACCAGGGTGTTTTAGTATTATTTTTTTCACGTTGGCAACTCTAAAGGGAAGCCCATCCCTGCCCAGTATTGTTATTTAACAGAGTTAATCAGATCATTTAATCCTGTTGTGGAAATATTGGGCCTCATATCAAAACAATAGGGACCACATCATATTCTGGTTAAATTTCAACCAGCATTTAACTGTGCTATTTGGTAAGCAACTGTAACCTTTATTCCACAGGGCCAGAGTCCTTCTGCATGTTATGACTGTCCAAGATACAGCACACGATAAGAGGGAGGGTGCAGGGAGAGGCTCTGCCAGGGCACACAGAAGCCAAACTTCAGACTGCTCCTTGATACCTCAACTCCCTTTAGACCTGAAATAAGTCATTCAGCTCAATGAGAATGAAATGAGTCATTCATAGTAGAATGTAGTGATATCAAGAATGGCATTTAAACTTAATTAGGGTCAATGTGCTCGGGAACAAGAGGTGAAAGTGAAATACAGAGATTGTTATTATTTATTGATGTTAGAGATGTGTAGCAGGACAAAATAAGGATATTGTTGTAAATCAGGGACCTCTAACACAAGCCTCTAGTACTGTTAGATTTTTTAAAATTCTCTAATTTGGTTAAATATATGGTGTATGACTGAGCAATGTGCTGTTATTCTAAAATCCCAGTTGTTTCTAGGCTTTGAAAGCGGAGGTTTGAAAGGCTTTTTCCAGCTCAATTGTTTTAGATTTAATATACCTTTGACATATAATGTGTAGAAAGATTCTTTATGCAAGGACATGGATATCTTAAATTTAATCTTGACTGTGCATAGTTATCTTTAAAATTACACTGTCACTAAAATGCCATTTGTATAAAAAAAATTCCCAAAAATCTGAATTGATGTGATTGTTGTGTAACTCACAGCTTGCCATGGTGCAAGAAAGAGGAAGGATTTGGTTAACCTCCTTTATAATCCTGGGTGCCCCCTGTGCCCAAAGGAACAATGTTAGCTAGAAATATTTAATTTAATTCAATATTGGCATGAACAGCAAATTTTAGACCTTAACAGCCAAGCTAGGCATATAGTACGCTCACAAAAATATCATTTTTTGGTTATTTTTACCAAACACTTGAAATTCCTTTTGTACATTTCCAGTAAAGTGAATTATATATTTGAAAACAGCGCACCATATATAATTAAATGATTAACATAAAATAAAGTGCTAAAGTAATACAACACAGATTTGTTTTATTTTCTTTGATAAAAGCTCTTGATTCTGCTGCTTATTCATTGAAAACTTTTAGCATGTCACAGATGGTGGATGAAGACTACTCTGATGTCTATCAATGAAACATTTCCACATAAATTATATTCTGTGTTTTGCAACTTTGGAGTTCGCTACAAGCCTGCGGAATAAATTTACACTGCCCCCTAGACTTACTCCAGCAACATGCTTTCGTGTGAACAACGACTTCCTTCACACAAGCTTCCTGAAGACAATAGGCGAACGCGTAGACACAGTGACGTAGCACCGTAAGCTACACGGTGACATTATCAAAGTGGGCGATGTTATTGGAAGCCCTGCGGATTTTAATTTCTGCGTTTGTACCCACGATCAAAGAAATATCTTGTAAAGAGCACAGTGCATATTCACAACAACCGGGAAGCTCGGTGAACATCTATCCGTGGAGGATTCAAGACTTCTGTAGTGTTCCAATGGGAACAAAAGGCGTGAGTAGCAGGCTTTCACTGCATATTCTCACTACAATTTTCCTGTAAGAGGCTCCATTAATTGTTTTTTATACTATGTATTGTTGTGTTTATATAATAGTGTATTGGATAGTATTTATTTTTATATGCAAATGTAATAAATGTATTTTTATTTTTTACTCCTTTTATTGGTAGAATTGCAACTTTCTATCAGTACTTCACTATTGTATCTCATTTGTTTATTTTTATTTATATGTGACTCTGAGCCAGTATATAAGAGTGATCTCAAGACAAACCAAGGTCATTCATCGTAGGCAGGTGTGAAGGGAGTCTCTTCTTGCAGCCTCTCACTCCTCCCTCGCGCGCCCTTTGTGATGCCGGGAGCCGGAATATGACATCATTCTGGCCCCCGGCATACTAAACAGCGGGCGGGAGGAGTGAGGAGCTGCTCCACACTGGACCCCAGGGAGGTGAGTGTTTGTCAGTGAGTGAGTGTCTGCCAGTGAGTGAATGTATGTCAGTCAGTGTGTGTGTGTGTCTTTCTGTCAGTGTCTGTGTGGTGTATGTCTGTCAGTGAGTGTGTGTGTGAGTGTATGTCTGTCGGTAAGTGTGTATGTGTCTGTCAGTGAGTGAGTATATGTCTGTCATTGAATGTGTGTGTATGTGTCTGTCAGTGAGTGAGTATTTGTCTGTCAGTGAATGTGTGTGTGTGTCGGTCAGTGAGTGAGTATATGTCTGTCCGTAAATGTGTGTGTGTGTCAGTGAGTTTCTGTGTGTGTGTGTGTCAGTGAGTGTGTGTGTGTGTGTGTGTATGTCTGTCAGTGAGTGTCTGTCTGTGTGTGTGTGTGTGAGTGACACAAAGGGGCTGCAAAATTGATCTTTTCCTAAGGCGGCAGAAATCCTTGCACCGGCCCTGAGTGATCCACATGCATCCAGTTGGCTATATTACAAGGATGCTTATACTTACACTATGCAAATTTACCATAAAGCTATCCAATAATATGTGAGATATGGTGGCCTTAATGGTACAGTACAGATAAATGTTTTGCATTTGAGCAGACTGGGATGTTTTAATGAAGTAAGCTTCATGGGACAACAGGTATTGGTGTTCTAGGAAAAACGGATCTAGCAGGTGCAAAGTAATAGAAGCGGAGGGTGTTAGAAGAGCTCTGTGAAACAGCAAGCAGAGGTGGGACTCTAGGGTAGGACAAGGTGCGGCCACAGCATGATCTTGAGTTCACATCTAATCCAGCCAGAAAAATCTGTGATAGAGAGTGAGATTTAACCCATGAAACCTTGGGATGGAACAAAAAGAAAGAACAAAGAAAACTAGATCGGATTTTTAGAAGCGCCACAAAAGTAGAGCAGTGTGCTAAATGTCTTTCCTATACTTTGGGGAAGGAAAACAAATGCAATCGCTATTAAACCCTGAACATTTTTCATTTACAGAGGATGGTATCCCTCTTCATTTTGTAGTGTGTGTGGAACTGCACTCACTCCCATCAATCTGAGCCAGGGTGCTTGCTGTACCGGAGTCAAACACCAGATTCCCAATTAGTAGAATAAAATGAAAGAGGTCCAGGCACTCCTTGGTTCAAGACAGGCACTTTATAGCTTGACAAAGACCTTTGGGTCGAAACGTTGCTGTTGTGGTTCCAAAAAAGTGCCTGTCTTGAACCAAGAAGTGCCTGGACCTCTTTCATAGTATCCCTCTTCAGGCCAGGGCACATGTAATTTGGGAAGGCAGTACCTCTCCAAATTGCCAGGATTATTCAATAAAGAATTTGCAAAGGAAATGCACATTTTGGGTCACAAAACTGAAGTAGAAAAATTCTCCAAAATCTGTAATTTCTCCTGCTTCAAAAATAGTCTACAATTTAGAGATATTCCTGATTAAGGGATATCCCCGCACTAAATATGGAACGGTTGTGAATTGGAAAATTTACAAAATTCAGGTTTAGTTTACCTATAGTTGGGCTTGATATTTTATATTTCAAATCAGTTATTTTGGTCTAAATTTTACTATTTGGTTTTCAGTTCAACACTATTAGCTATTTAGTGAATAAACCCCTTAGGTTAAAACCTCATGCCGTTAAGAACGCAGACCTTGCACAGCAGGATTAGCCGACGACTCCCCAAATTGTTTGCAAGTCTGTGGGTGCCTGGGTGTTGTGAGAGTGCTGAATGTAGGCTACCACTGATAAACATAGTGTTCATCGAGTCACATATCTGAGACTGTGGCAATATTAGGACAATTTAAAATGGAGTCCTCCTTTATTTATCTACTACAGAGTTGCTTTAATCAAAAACTATATAGAGAGTGGAACTGTTCACCCCAGGTATATGGAACTTTAGTATCTTTGTGATGTAACTGGAAAAGAAAACTTCCTTTCCTATAAAATGGGAAAAAGCACAGATAAATGGAAATACTTTTCCCCTCTTTAAAACAGAGTTACTAGTAGGACATAAGCCATGCTGCTCATACACTTCACTGCCCCAACTGCTTGGATTAAATGCACTGGGTTCATTTACTAAATGAAGAATTGTGGACAACTGGTGAAGGAATAGCAATTTTTAGATCAACAAATAGTTTTCCAATTTTCCAACTCCATTATGTTTCCATTTTGGCCTAACATTTGCAACAACCTCTTGTCAAATCACAGATTAGATAATAAAACCCACCCTTTACCAATGCATTACACAAAGGGTAACAGGCAAGGTTTTATGAATTTTTAAAACATTCTAGTGAAAAAAGAACAATGTGGTAGATATGTAGGTACCTATTGTGCAACCCCTTATATTAGAAATAATCAGTGATTTTGGAAATCCTAACCTAGTGTGATCCTTGTCCAGTAAAGGTTTCCGGAGTTGACTATTTTTTTCATGAAAACATCTGACAGTAACTGACAACCTGTTCATTAATATACGATGTAGAAATTTAAGTATGGGCAACGATTTTGATACCTGGACATTAAGAATAATGTCCCCCCATTGTTAGGCTATAAAGTGTGTGTATTTGAATATTCTGTGTTTGCAGATCATATTACAGACACATTATAATAGAATGTAGTGAAAATACTGCATGGAAGGGATACAAACTATCCCACATATGAGACATTACAGTTTGCCAAGCTCACAGGGTATATAACTGGCTGACAGACATACAGACAGAGGACAGGACATTGCCCAAGGAAAGCTACCTCCAGATCAGATGAACACAATCCCTAATCCCAACATTGCCATGAGCTCACAGTGCACAGGAAAGACAAACATCTCTGGAGAGACAGATAACGAGCAGTGAATGTCAGAGGCAGTCTGAGTGACAGCACATTGTGACAGTCCATGCGTTCTACAAACGGACATCCCCACTTTTAGGTCGAGACACGGTAGTAAAGTACAAAGAGACAATGTCACCGTCAGACACAGTTCCACATAAGAATAACATCCAGCATCACTGTCACATTCCAAGACTTTGCCCCACACTACATATCAGCACATAGCGAAAGCAAAGTGACTGAGTGACTTGTGCCATGAAGTGGGCGTGAGAGTGAGTGTGAGCTCCTGAGATCCCGGTATATGGTCCCCCCTCCTTCCACAAGCCATGTGCCAAAACAAACCGCCTTTCCTATTTATTGCCGGCTGACAGTGGAAGCTCAGAGACAGCAGACCTGGGACAGCTCTCATACTGGGCACCAATATAGACCATTACTCCGGTCATTGGGCAACAATTAAAGCAACTCACTGGGAATGTTCTGAGAAGCTTTGACACTGGCACAGACTGGGACTACCCGGCATTGGCACTGACACTGCATTATTGAACCTGTCCGTTGGTGACAGGGGGATCCCCGGGAGCAGTGGGGACTCCAGGCACCTGTAAGAGCAGGGGCTGACTCGGGGGTCAGTGAGTGCTACTGGGGGAACAAGTCCGGACTTCACATCAGAGCCCCTTCCCCCGGGCGCACAGAGAGCCGGGGCAGAGAATGGAGCTCCCGTGATCCGCGCCCCCTACCCGGCCGCCCCATGCAGCTGCCCCGGCTTGTGCTGCTGCTCTGCGGCGCTGCGCTGTTCCTGCTGCCGGCTGCGGTGCTGGGCTGCGGGCCGGGCAGGGTGGTGGGCAGGAGGCGTAAACCGCCCAGGCTCACCCCGCTCTCCTACAAGCAGTTCAGCCCCAATGTGCCCGAGAAGACGCTGGGGGCCAGCGGGAGGTACGAGGGCAAGATCGCCCGCAACTCGGAGCGCTTCAAGGAGCTCACCCCCAACTACAACCCGGACATCATCTTCAAGGACGAGGAGAACACCGGGGCCGACCGGCTCATGACACAGGTAAGGGGCAAAGCACATGGGGCATAGTGTGTTACTGACCCCGGGAACGGGGGGCACAGTGTTACTGACCCCGGGAATGGGGGGCACAATGTTACTGACCCCGGGCACAGTGTTACTGACCCCGGGAACGGGGGGCACAGTGTTACTGACCCCGGGAACGGGGGGCACAGTGTTACTGACCCCGGGAATGGGGGCACAGTGTTACTGACCCCGGGAACGGGGGGCACAGTGTTACTGACCCCGGGAACGGGGGGCACAGTGTTACTGACCCCGGGAACAGGGGGCACAGTGTTACTGACCCCGGGAACGGGGGGCACAGTGTTACTGACCCCGGGAACAGGGGGCACAGTGTTACTGACCACGGGAAAGGGGGTGGGCGGACAATATGCATTACTGACTTCGAGCATGGGGGGCACTGTATGTGTTACTGCCCCCGGGAATGGAGGGCACATTGTGTTACTGCCCCTGGGAGTGGGGGTCACAGCTTGTGTTACTGACTTAACAGAGGGCACAATATGTGTTACTGACTCTGGGCATGGGGGGCACAGTGTGTTACTGCCCCGGGAATGTTGGGCACAGTGTGTTACTGCCCCCGGGAATGGAGGGCACATTGTGTTACTGCCCCTGGGAGTGGGGGTCACAGCATGTGTTACTGACTGAACAGAGGGCACAATATGTGTTACTGACTCTGGGCATGGGGGGCACAGTGTGTTACTGCCCTCGGGAATGTTGGGCACAGTGTGTTACTGCCCCCGGGAATGGAGGGCACATTGTGTTACTGCCCCTGGGAGTGGGGGTCACAGCATGTGTTACTGACTGAACAGAGGGCACAATATGTGTTACTGACCCTGGGCATGGGGGGCACAGTGTGTTACTGACTGAACAGAGGGCACAATATGTGTTACTGACTCTGGGCATGGGGGGCACAGTGTGTTACTGACTGAACAGAGGGCACAATATGTGTTACTGACCCTGGGCATGGGGGGCACCGTGTGTTACTGACTGAACAGGGGGCACAATATGTGTTACTGACTCTGGGCATTGGGGTCAACGTGTGTTACTGACTGCACAGAGGGCACAATATGTGTTACTGACCCTGGGCATGGGGGGCACAGTGTGTTACTGAACCGGGGCTCAGCATGTGTTACTGACCCCGGACATGGGGGGGGGCAGTATGTGTTACTTCGGGCATGGGGGGGCACAGTGTGTGTTACTGACCATGGGGGCAAGTGTGTGTTACAGAGGCGTAGTGTGTTACTGACCATGGGGGGGGCAGTGTGTGTTACTGACTATGGGCCATGGGGGCACAGTCTGTGTTGCTGACCATGGGCCATGGTGGGCACAGTGTCTGTTACTGACAACAGGCATGAGGGGGCACAGTGTGTGTTAGTGAGCCCGGGAATGGGGGGCACAGTGTGTTATTGACAACAGCCATAAGGATGTACCGTGTGTTTGTGACCACACGCACGGAGGGCACAGTGTATGTTACTGACCCTGTGCATGGGGAGCACAGTATTTGTTACTGAACATGGGCAGGGGGCACAGTGCATGTTACTGATTTTGGGCATGTGTGTTACTGACTCTGGGCATGGGGGCACAGTGTGTAACTGACTCTGGGCATGGGTGGCACAGTTTGTTACAGAATCTGGGCAGAGGGGCACAGTGTGTGTTACTGACTGGGCATAGGGGCACAGCATGTATTACCGAACCCAGGAAGGAGGGGGCACAGTGTGTGTTACCGAACCCAGGCATGTGGGGGCGCAGTGTCTGTTTCTGACAGCAGGGCACAATATGTGTTACTGACCCAGGGAATGGTGGGCACAGTATGTGTTACTGAACCTGGGCATGGGGCTACAGTGTGTGTGTGTGTGTTAATAGACCCCGGGCATGGGGGCACAGTATGTGTTACTGACCGCACAGAGGGCACAATTAGTGTTACTTACTATGGGCACGGGGGACACAGTATTGGTAACTGATCCTAGAAATGGGGGCCAAAGTGTGTTACTGACTCTGGATATTGGGGCATGGTAAAGGCTATGAGTGGGAGCCAGATTCAGGGAATAGGGAGCACAGTAACTGTAAGCCTACTAGGCGCTTGGAGACAGAGCCTTAGGAGAGTGTGCTCCTGACACAGATATAAGCCATATACACGGGAGTCCACATAATGTACATAGGTGGGGACACTGAACAAGACACAGTGTAACAAATGTTCATGATGTTTAGTACAAGGCACAGTGCAAGAGAGCTGGAATATGATGCATATGGCAAGGCATTGTAACAGGACGTATACAAGATGTATAGAGCAAGGCAAAGTGTAATAAGACAAGAGTATGATGTCTAGAGCAAGAAACAGTGGGGAAAATGTATCAAAGTATTCTGAAAAGTGTTGCAGTGCTCTTAATGTAGACCAATCACTGTGGAAACCACTGGAGACAACAGGCACTTTCAGATGTTAATTACTCCACTTATAAAGCATTGAATTTCTGGTAATCTCCCCCGATGTGACAAGAGATGGAGGTGATGCACAGAGCATGACACAGTGAAAGGTGAGCAGGATAACAAATAAAGCATAAAGTCAGAAGCAGTGTAATAGGAGAAAAACATGATGCATAGAGCAAAACAACAGAAGAGGGATATGGGGCAAGGCAATATGATGCATGAGCAAGACATAATACATCAAAAAGATCAGATACATGATTTATTGATTGAAACATGGCATAACAAGTCATCGTACATTATTAGCAAGATGCCTTGTGATAGGGAGGTGATACAATGAGCATAAAATAGAGTAAAACTTGAGTGGGATTATGTATGAAGCAAGGCACATCGGATGCTGCACAGAACAAGACAATGTAATAAAAGACGATGTGTAGAACAAGACACAGTGTTTCAAGAGAAAGAAGAGTTTCTCTGATATCATTCATCAGAATGACATAGTCCAGGTGTAGGCAAACTTCGGCAGTCCAGATGTTGTGGACTACATCTCCCACAATGCTCTTAGTCACAATGCTGGCAAAGCATCATGGGAAGTGTAGTCCAAAACATCTACAATGCTGAACGTTGCCTATCCCTGACATAGTCTATACATCATAGTGAGGAGGGGGCAGACTTAAATGTAGGTGTGTGGGTTGAAATGTACCATTCGGACAAATGGTACAACAAATCTATCAAAGAAGAGCCAGCTATATCGCTGACATGTACTCACAGAGTTAAGAGTGCTCACAGAGTGCCTGATAGTGAAAATAAAAGGAAGTGGAACACACAGGTGAGGGTGAAATGGCCTGCATGGGTGATGGCGGTAACAAAAAGGTAATGAAAACATTTCACAATAAGGAGAAGCACTGGAATATTTTTATTATTGGAATATTTAACACTCTAAATACCATAGATATTTTTCATCTAATGAATGCGCTGGTAAATGATTGAACAAAAGTAAAGGCTATTATGTGTACAGTGAATCACACCGACTGATCATTTCCTCATTTCATATATACATCTCCAAATCAAGTCCCATTATCCTGACATAACCTGTCAATGTGATATAACTGCTTAGCAGGTATAAGTTTAATGAACAGAATTTATAAGCTATTTGAGGTAATCAATGTGAGAGATGGTGCAATAAGTAACAATGTGGTGTTCACATAGATGGGGACGAGAGAAGGATCTATTTATGAGGCAGAGACGGGTCATTCCTGTGACACAGAAAAAAAGATACTGACAGAAGGGGTGTTATTGATTATACAAAGAGGGGCATCTAGTCATTGGAAAGAAAGTTAGAGCCACTGATGGGACAGTTGGATAAGTAACCAGAGCATGAGATATAGGCGGTACTAACACAAATGTAACAGATAAAGAAAGCTACTGATTGGAAGAACAAACTACTGAAGAGAAACTAAAAAATTGCACTGTTGGGCCTTTTTTACTGGGTGAAAACTTTTCCAAAATGTATCTTTAAATAACTTCCTTCAGCTTCACCTTTAAAGACTTCAGTTAAAAACCTTATTTATCACTTTTTTAATATATAACATACATACAAGAGGATGGTATTAGCTAGGGGAAACCACTTTGTTAGTTAAAAGAGGAAAGTTACTAGCGCATCCAGTAACGTGATTTTCGAAAATCACAAATTGTACAAATTGTGCTTGCTGCATTACAGTGAGACATAGACTTGGTATCCATGTTTTCAATTGTAAATCATACAATCCAAAAATGAGATTAGACACTGTGGGAAATGTAGTTCACAAACATGTAGGGTACCAAGGCTATCATTCCAGTCTTATATTATGACATTCTGCTGTACCAACGTAAAATTCCATTCATTTATTTTGATCAAATGTCAAATTTGTCAGAGTTATTCACTAATGTATAAATTGATGGGCATTAACATGGGAATTATAAATTTAAGCCTGAAGTAGCCAATCTGTAAAAACAATCCTCAAGTTATCTATTCTTTCAGCTCTGCAACTGTGACCAAAATGTTAAATATCCTTGTCTGATGTCCATAATTCAGAAAGATTTTACATAACAATAAACTAACTTTAGTAAATTTTAAAATCGAATTGCAAACTGGCTGAAGTTTTCTTTCCAGCTCTTTTTGTGTACGTTTTGCAATTTGGTGTTAATTCATTTACTACAATTTGTTGTTTAGGTAATAAACAGCATATAGTTTTGCTCTTTTCTGACTGTGTAATTTGTGAGCTGCATTGTTGATCCAAAGTATCACGCTTTTTTTGCTTTTACTTTTTCAGTGTCCTTCCTCTATTTACACATATACAGTGTGCTGTTTTTCCTATAGATAGATATATACCCTGTTTGTTTATCTGGTTCTCGTGGTTTCTGGGACACTCAGAGATTTGTTCTGTAACTCAGTGTGTACACTGCCTGTGTCTACCTGCCGGGAATGTGGGATTTTTCCTGATCGTCAGGGAGCTACAGCTCACAGCATGAAGTTTATTTCCACTGTCACAAAAAAGAAGGAAAAAAATCCACATTGAATAGGTGTGATCACAAACAAAAGCCAGTGAGATATGTTCACACTTTAGAACATTATCATATCTTTATATTTTCATCACACTCCCCCCCACTGCACCAACAAATTTAAATGAGTTTGAATGTTTGGTTTTGAATGTGAAATGATTTTAGCTGGTGACATATTTAACTAGTCAGTGGACGTTTGGCATAGAAATGCATACAGGGACACTCCACTGCCCAAATACAAAATAAATAAAAATCACTGTTTAGTAGATATACCCCAAATGAAAATCTGTATGCATTTAATTATGCATTTTTTCATTGGGGTTATATATAAAATAGTTTGCAAAAACTGCAGATAGCTTGTCTGCAGCCTTTGCAACCCCTCCCCTTCTAACCATGCCCAGACTTTCTGTGGCTGTCCAATCACAGACTCCCCAATGCAGCTCAATGAGAAGTCTTTGCAAGGCAGGTGCTCTGGGCAATTGCTGCCTCTTGAGTTCATGAAATAACAGGACCCCTCGTCTGCTTGAAAAGCCAGAGGAGTGTAGCCTGTACAATTCTCAATTTCTGTTGAAATATCCACTTTTTTTGCAAAATGCAAGAACATTGACACACTCTTCACACATAAAGCATTTCAGCAAGTTAAAGTGCTCTGGAGTATCCCCTTAACAGCATCATATCTCAGAATAAATTAAGTTGGATACGCTGTTTTTAAAGTTATTACAAACACGTTTAAATATAGAGAACCTATAGCACTCTATAGTTGGCTACACATTCACTGTAAGAACAAGTTTGACAATCTGCTCAGCTTGAATCAATCTGAACCTGTAGAATTCACAAATTTGCACCTTGCCACTGATATCACTATTTAGGTAAGCTTTCAATGCATTTCCTTTTAAAGATGAGCTGCTGAAAGTCACCAAATTAAAATATATGTGTACTTTTCAATTAGTATTATACTTTTATAATGAGACAGTACCAGAGCCGATAGGGATATTTCATACTGTTTAGGTACCAATACAGTTTTCAGCAATTCTTTAACTTAGTCTGTTTGTGTCAAAGGAGCACTCCAGACCCCGAAAGCACTTTAGCTTGCTGAAATGTTTTATGTGTGAAGAGTGTGTCCTCCTTTTTCATTCTGCTAAAAGTGCAGATTTTATTAGAAATTTACACGATTATAAACCTTGTTACACGCTCGGCTTTCAAGCAGACAACCAATCTTGTTACTTCCTGGTTTGGTTAGCTCAGTGGAACTAAACTCAAGGGGCAGCAATTGCCTAGAGCACCTGCCTTGCAAACACTTCTCACTGAGCTGCATTGGGAAGTATGTGATTGGACAGCCACAGAAAATCTGGGCAGGATTAAAGGGGAGGGCTTGTAAAGTTTGCCGAGAAGAGATCTGCAGGTTTTGTAAGCTGTTTTTAGAAATAACCCTGAATGAACAAAATGCATAATTAAATGCATGCAAGGTTTCATTTGCTGTAAATCTACTAAACAGTGATTTTTATTTATTTTGTATTTTGGCAGTAGAGTGTCCCTTTAAGTACACTATATGGCCAAGTGTATGATAAAACTCCTAATTACTGAGTTCAGTCTCATCCATTACTAACAAGTGCATAAAAAAAATTCATCACATAAACCATGTATGTAGATACAAATTGAGCTCAGTGACTTTAAAAATGGTACTGTCATAAGATACCACCTTTGCCACAAGTTAGTCTGTGACATTTCTGCCCTCCTAGTTCTTACCTGGTCAACTGTAAGTGCTATTATTGTGAAGCAGAGGCACCTAGGGACAACAACATCTCAACCTCTAAGTGGTAGACAACACACACTCACAGAGTGGGGCTGCCAAGTTCTGAAGTGCATAAAAACTGTGCATCACTCACTGTAGAGTTACAAACTGCTTCTGGAAGCAACATCTGCCCATGATCTTCATCAGGCTTCATGAAATAGATTTCCATACCGAGCAGCTATACACAAGTCTCACTTCAGCATGCACAATGCAATTGCACAGCACCACTGGACTCTTGAGCAGTGGAAACAAGTTAAGCTCTTTCTGGGAATGGCAGATGCCAGGAGAATGCCGTCTACCAGAATACATAGGGTCTACTGTAAAATTTGGTAAAGGAGAGAATGGTCTGGCGCTGTATTTTAAGGTTTGGGTTAGGCCCTTAGTTCCAGAGAAGGATTATCTTAATTCTACAGGTGCTTCCAAAAGTTTAGGAAAAGCCATTTCCTGTTCCAGCATGACTGTGCCCCTATGCACAGAAGTCCATGAAGACATCATTTGATGACTTTCGTGTGGAGGAACTCTAATGGCCTGCACAGAGCCCTGACCTCAACCCCACTGAACAACTTTGGGATGAATTTAAACAACAATTACAAGTCAGACCTTCTTGTCTAATATCAGCACCTGACCTCATAAATGCTCTTTTTTTCTGAATGGGAACAAATTCTAAAAGACAGAATCCAAAATTAAGTGTAAAACTGTCACATTAGTGCTATAGCTCCAAAAGAGGGGGTGGATGGTTTGGGATGGAATGTCCAACAAGCTCATATAGGTGAGATGGGCAAGTATCCACATATGTTTGGTCCTAGAGCGGGGTAGAAAGTGTTTGGCACTCCAAATTTTGCTAATTACATCTCCCCTGATGCTCTGCCAGAACTATTTCTCTAATAGCTTTATAAGAGATTTAGTCCACAACATCCTACCCCCTACCCCTGTCCTAGGATTGCTTTCAAGACTACTTTAAAAGAACACTGAACGCAAAACAATTTTGAAAATAAATATATATATAAATAAGAATACAAGACTTTATTTTGTAGGTGTAAATGTTATCGGTTATCGGCAGGTGCTTTCTGTTTGATTGTAAGAATCTATCAATTACTGTGCTATCTTCTTTCATTTTTAAGATTTTTACAATGCAGACTGTTTTAAAACGTTATAATTATATCCTTCTTATAATGTAAAATATAATAGATGTTGCCACTTAAATTAAATGTTTAAATTTGTAAAAATTGTGAGAGCAACCCTAATCTAATAAAAGCGAAACAGAGATCCAATCCTGGCTAAATTACACTGATCATAGGGGAAAAGATGAGCATAAAATCCAACAAATTAGATGCCCTGGCTCTGATGAGGGTGTAGTTGGGAGTGTAAATCACTGAATTCATTTGAATAATTTTAAGACATTTGTATTCCAATCATTTTGTCTAGTGAGTGAATCTGGTTCTCAAAAGGCAAAAGGTATACTTCAGGTTTGAGGTAATGCATTGAAAAAGTTTTAATAAAAAACAATTATTGGAAGAGTAAAAAAAATCTACTCAATTTCCTTTGCATGTTTCAAATTTGCAGCTTCTCCAGATAATTGCAGCTGGGGTTTCTCAGCCAGTCCTACTTGTTATTCTTGATTAGCATTTGTATACCCCATAAAACCCGTCTTCAGGATTTAAAAAAAAGTCAGCTGTAATGGTTATAGTTCTTGGAGTGTTCCTTTACAATTTAAAAGGACACTATAGTCACCCAGACCACGTCAGCTCAATAAAGTGGTCTGGGTGCCAGGTCCCTCAGGTTTTAACCCATCAGATGTAAACATAGCAGTTTCAGAAAAACTGCTATGTTTACATTGCAGGGTTAATCCAGCCTTTAATGGCTGTCTTCCTGACAGCCGCTAGAGGTGCATGTGCGATGCTGGATGCAAAAATCGCATTCAGCATGCAGAACGACCATAGGAAAGCATTGAGAAATGCTTTCCTATGGACTGTTTGAATATGCACTCGGCTCTTGCCGTGCATGCGCATTCCGTTCCACTCTGGAGCTGACGGCTGCGGGGGAGGAGAGGTCACCAGCGCTGAGGGAGCCCGAAGTTGATTAAAGTAAGTAACTGAAGGGGTTTACACCCTTCAGCGCCAAGGTAGGGGAGCCCTGAGGGTGGGGGGGACCTAAGGCTTATATAGTGTCAGGAAACGAGTTTGTTTTCTTGACACTAAAGTGATCCTTTAAAGTTTGTAGAATTGAGTTTTCTCAATAAAGTATGTAAGCATTTGTAATGTAGATATCTAATGTAGGTTTGCTCCTCAGATCAGTATTTAGCAATCTGTATATTGTACAGGTTTTGATGTAGGTTTTTCTTACTATTATTATTGCCATTTATATAGCGCCAACATATTGCGTAACGCTTTACAATATTATAGGAGGGGGGATTTAACAATAAATAGGACAATTACAAAAAAACTTACAGGAACGATAGGTTAAAGAGGACTCTGCTCAAACAAGCTTACAGTCCATAGGACGTTATTAAACATTTCATTTTATACCATCATTTTTGAATATTCGTAGGGATATTCCTTTTAAACATACTGGTTGTTCATTATAAGAGAAATTTCACAATATTTAACAAAACAGACAGTTATGGCTTAGGTGTGAAACATAACAAGTGCACATTCATCTCCCAAAATACAAATTTTAAGATCACACTATGGGACTTACTTCTACAGGGTTTAGGATTTTGTAAGTAAACCACTAGAAGAATTTTCAAAGTTTATATCCTTGTGGGCCTAATGTCCTATTAGGATGTTGCAATTTTGCATATATTGTTTTATAACTGTTAGTAAATCAGTGACAGCATCTCAGGAATGCAACTTCCTTCAACATAGAATGTGGGAGTTTTCTCATAAAAAGGGACTCTGCCCACTGAAGGAACAAGTTGAAACTGCTAAGACATAGGTATCTAATACATAGCAGACCATTGATATATCCACATTCTATATGTATAATATACATAAAACGTTAAAAACATTTAATTAAATGGACACTGTAGGTACTATAACCATTTCATATCATGTCCCTCCATTTAACTATAAAGCTCTAAACAACTCTAGCCCTTGTTACATTTCTTCACTTATTCGTAGGTATGCCCCTTCTCGGTCTCTCCGCTCTGCCGGTAACCATCTCCTGTTCGCTCCTCACACCCTCACTGCTGACTCGCGCTTGCAGGACTTTTCACTGGCAGTTGCTTTCCCTTGGGAAAGTCTGCCAACCAATCAGACTCTCTACTAGTCTTCAATCTTTTACGAAATTAATCAAAACCCATCTGTTTAGAAATGTTTATGGCCTCACAGAGTACCTTCTATGTCACAAATCTGCCTTCGGCTCTCTCCTAAAGAGTCACACTAAACTCTCTACTTTCTCACCTTGTTTGTTTTTATTGTCCCCATTGATGCCCTTCCTATTGTGTCCTTATATTCTACTACTCTAGACTGCAAGCTCTTCTGAGCAGGGTCCTCATCTACCTATTGATCCTGTAAATTTCACACTTTCATAATATTGTAAAGCATAAATATATAAATACTACTACTAATAATAATTAAGAGTTAAACTATTTTTAAACAGCTTAACACTGAATGAGGGTCTCTGGCCACCCATAGCAGTGCCCCTTTGAAGGTGCGACTAAGGCAAAGATTACACACTTTCTTGTAGCCATAATGATTCATACCTGCAATTGGCACTGTGATAGACTGAATGTGCTTTGCTGACACTTAATAGATCAAGCAGCACAGAGGAGATTTAGCATTAAAAACGGTTTAATACTGAATTGAAGGATAGCGCCAAGGGACTCCAAACACTATAACTATTTCAATGAGATGAAGCAGTTATGGTGCCCACAGTGTCCCATTAAGAAGCCTAATGAATACCGTACATTTTATCCTTTATGTCAGTCCAGATAGGTTCATGGGTGGAAAGAAGGCACTGAATGAATTATTTATGCAAGGTTAGGGATCCCTCCTTGATTAATGAGTTGGTTTCCCTTCTTTAGAATATGAACACTAGTATACTATGCTGCTGGGCTTTACTATTCACTTTACTGCACATGACCATGAAGATATTATACATGTCCAGAAGAACATGGTCAACATTGTATCTAGACATTGCATTTAGAAGCAGTATTATTAGCTATTGTTTTTATCTGGAATGATGTCACTTCTTACAGTCTTTCCAAAAGGTGTATCATCCTTAAAGGAATAACATTGGACCTCCCTGCAGCTGTATTCACAAAAGAAAATGTGGCTAATCCAGGAATTCCCCTGATTATCAGAGCAGTATTGGAAACTGAGGGCAGCTTGTATCAGGACAATCACTCCCATTCGAAGGAATATTAGTGCTACATTTTTTAATGTTTTGTTGCTGTACAAAATGTAGGGAGCGGCAGCGCTCTGCATGTCACTCTCCAGAAGTGAGGTGTGTATATTTTGGAGGGGGCTCAGAAGCTGTTCTACCAAGAGAGGTATGTGAAATATGTATCTGACACTTGGTAAAACCCAAAGGAACAGTCCCACAGCATTTCATCATTAACCCTTCGAGTGGCAGGGCAAGTGCATAGTGCAACATGGTGTTTCCCCTTTCTGGAACACCGAATGTCTTACCAACAGTGAGTAAAGATGAGTTGTGAGAAATGCCAACTGGATACAAAAATCTGATTTGAAGATTTATTTATTTATTTGACTCAGTTTAGTGATTGCACAAGACCTTCCCCAACCCCCGATATGGTTCTCACTATCTTCTGGTCAAGTCACAGTGGCTAAATTTTACACAAATAAGTCTTTAAAATAATTGTTATTGAAGTAAATTGAAGGTAGTTTGTAAATTAAGGTCAAATGTACTTTATGCAAAACAAGTAGAAAAAACAAATTTACACTGCTGCAGGCTCAGGTTGCCAGGGGTCATTCTAAGGCAACAAGAAATGTTTGAATATATACAAGTGTTAGAATACGATCTCATAAGCAAGGAGGAAAAGTTACTGACCAGGATCTGTGATGTGATGAGCAATCGGCTGACTTTAGATGGAAATCTGATGATGATGCAAGGCCAGCAGGATGCACCTAGTCTCTCTTAGAACCCCTGCTTCTAAATATATTGCTTGTGCCTAACAAGAAAAATTAAAAACGAGAATATGTTATAGTTACTGCACATAATCGATATAGCAATTACAGTTTTAAGTAAAATTCTTGTAAACTTTTGCAGGGTTATTTACTAAAATGAGAATTCAAAGTGAATTTCACATTTATGATCCAAACAGCAAAACTGGTATAATTCTGCAACTATTTAAAATCTGCATTCTGCAATTGATTTTAATATAATAAAAAATGTAATAGTTCTTCAATTTCTTCACTTTCAAACTAAATTCAGTTTGAGCAAAATAGCTATTTAGAGAAAGTAAAACATATATATTCAAGTTATTATTAAAGGAGCACTATAGTGCCAGGAAAACAAACTTGTTTTTCTGGCACTATAGGGTTAATATGTACCCCCTCCCACTGGGGTGAAGGGGTTAAAACCCTGTCAGCCACTTACCTAAATTCAGCGCTGGGCTCTCTCGGCGCTGGTGACCTCTCCTCCCCCTGTAGACATCAGCTCCTAATGCATATGCGCGGCCAAAGCTGCACGCGCATTCCAGCCGCCTATAGGTAAGCATTACCCATTGCTTTCCTATGGACATCCAGCATGCGTTCAATGCGATTTTCGCATTGAGGATCGCGGAAGCAGCCTCTAGTGGCTGTCAAGTAGACAGCCAATAGAGGCTGGATTAACCCTCAATGTTTCTCTGAAACTGCTATGTTTTCAGCTGCAGGGTTAAAACTAGGGGGACCTGGCATTCAGATGTGGAACACTAAAGTGTTAGGAATACAATCGCTATAGTGCCCTGATGGCCGTTTAGGTGACCAGCCCTCACCTGCAAAGAGAGAAAAAAAAGAGTATTTGACTTACCTCCTCCCCTGCACCGCCAGTCTACATAGCTGCCCCAGTGTTCTTGGCTGAGAACATCGGGATCGATGATCTCCATCAATCTAATATTTTCCCATATGAAAGCATTGAAAGACTAATGCAAATGCACTGCACCAGTTAGATGGTCTCTCTGAGAGCATATGCAAGGATTAGCAGCGATTTATTTCACTGGACGTGCCTCTAGTAACAGTCTGAGTGCCAACCACTAGAGGGGGGAGAGGGGGCATTTAAGCTGTAATAAGCTGTAGTTTTTCTGGTGACAATAGTGTCCCTTTAAGGTGTATGATTTTTTTTAAAGTAAACAGAAGCCTGCCATTTATTTGCACCTGTTTATATTGAGACTGCCGACTATTGGCATTATGCATTCAAGTAAGAATTGTTGAGAGTTTAAATAAATTTTCAAAATTAAGGCCAAAGTAGCTCAATTGAAAATAATCTCACTTTGGCTACTTTGGATTAATTTTGAAATTCACTTTGAATTCTTACTACATATCTCCAGATAGATTGAATTAATTTACTTTCAGGAGCCAGGGATAGATCTCCATGGACATAACCTGCAACATTAGTATTTGTATTTGGTTTTGAGATTTTTTATTTTATTTCCTGGGTTATTGATTAACCCAACAGTCATTGTCTAACATGTAAATCCATAATTGTAGAAAGAGGAAGCACATATATTTTATGTAAACTAAGGTTAAATATGTTATAATGATAATTCAAGTGTCATAAACTGCATTGTTAAGTATTCAAACCGTATTAAAAACAGTTTGACATCTTACCTGGGTTTGCTGGACCCTGCAAGGCTTAAGGCATTAAGTATCGGGCTCTCCGTCATTATAGTGGAGGCATGGAACAGAGCCTGGCGGACCCCAGGTTAGAACTCAATCCATTTTAAAATGATTTCACTATTTACAGTGGGAAAAGGGTGCCACGGCACTCGTGGGACTATGACCACTACAGGACACCGTAGTTATTATGGAGCTTGGAGTATTTCCATAAAGCAGTGGTTCCCAACCCAGTCCTCAAGTACCCCCTAACAGTTTCAGAGAAAGAAAAAAAAAAACACTTTAGACACAACAGGGTAATCCCTAAATCCTGGACTGTTAGGGGGTACTTGAGGACTGGGTTGGGAACCCCTGCCATAAAAGAACACTCCAATGAGATTTATTTTTAACAATTTAGTAGACATAACTGAAAGCTAGGTAGTCTTCCAACAGACACATGTTCCTGGTAGAGAAGGCAGACGCCTTCCAGCATAGCATGCCTGCAACTTCTGTTAGCTCTGTGGAGCTAACAGTATTAGGAAGAAAACCTGGGAGCCTTGGGCATGTAAGGGAGTTGTTTAAAGTACTTACTAAAGTGTAATTTCAACTAGAAACCACTACTTTTATACATTTCAATTAAGAGGAGATGTTCCTAACACATAAAGCACTTCAGCTAACTGAAATGCATTGTGTGTGGAGTGCCATTTTAAGACCAAAATAGTGAAGTTGTAACATATTTTCCAGCTTAACTCATTTTCACAAATCAACAAATATGGCCTAAAGTTTTTCAATCCCTTTGTCACATAAACAGAATTCCCAATTTAGTAGATAAACTATATTTATTCCAATTTAGAGATTATTTTACATAATAACAAGATAAGTAGAACTTGCCTAACTCACCCAGCATCTCTCTCTCAAGGTGCCATATTTTATAAACTAATAAAATCACTCACAGGAGCAGACGTATGATAGACGAGCTCCGCTAAAATCAGCAATTATATGACCCAAATTACACTAACTTTATCCCACACCGAGCTATTACAAGATGGGGAAGAAATCTAAGCATCAGGGAATGGTCAAAGCAGCAGGGTCCCGCGATATCGGAGACCTTAACCTTCGTCCCACTATGGCCTCAGGAACTCCCGCGCCAAAAGAAAATGGTGACTCAACCTCGGCCTCCTCCTTAGACCAAGCGCTGAATAAGCTAGACGAGTTCCCAAACACAGGGGGATTACCCGGGGCCATAACACAGAGCCAGGGAGCGGAGCCTGGGGCCATAACACAGAGCCAGGGAGCACAGCCCAGGGCCATAACACAGAGCCAGGGAGCGCAGCCCAGGGCCATAACACAGAGCCAGGGAGCGCAGCCCAGGGCCATAACACAGAGCCAGGGAGCGCAGCCCAGGGCCATGACACAGAGCCATGGGTCATAACACAGAGCCATGGGGCCCGGGGCCATAACAGAGCCAGGGAGCCCGGGGCCATAACACAGAGCCAGGGGGCCCGGGGCCATAACACAGAGCCAGGGAGCCCGGGGCCATAACACAGAGCCAGGGGCCAAAATACAGAGCCAGGGAGCGCAGCCCAGGGCCATAACACAGAGCCAGGGAGCGCAGCCCAGGGCCATAACACAGAGCCAGGGAGCGGAGCCCGGGGCCATAACACAGAGCCAGGGAGCGCAGCTCAGGGCCATAACACAGAGCCAGGGAGCGCAGCCCGGGGCCATAACACAGAGCCAGGGAGCGGAGCCTGGGGCCATAACACAGAGCCAGGGAGCACAGCCCAGGGCCATAACACAGAGCCAGGGAGCGCAGCCGGGGCCATAACACAGAGCCAGGGAGCGGAGCCCGGGGCCATAACACAGAGCCAGGGTGCAGAGCCCGGGGCCATAACACGGAACAAGGGAGCCAGGGGCCATGACACAGAGCCATGGGTCATAACACAGAGCCATGGGGCCCGGAGCCATAACACAGAGCCAGGGGCCATAACAGAGCCAGGGAGTCCGGGGCCATAACACAGAGCCAGGGAGCCCGGGGCCATAACACAGAGCCAGGGGGCCCGGGGCCATAACACAGAGCCAGGGGCCATAACACAGAGCCAGGGAGTCCATGGCCATAACACAGAGCCAGGGGCCATAACACAGAGCCAGGGGGCCCGGGGCCATAACACAGAGCCAGTGGGCCCGGGGCCATAACACAGAGCCAGGGCCATAACACAGAGCCAGGGAGTCCGGAGCCATAACACAGAGCCAGGGGCCATAACACAGAGCCAGGGAGTCCATGGCCATAACACAGAGCCAGGGGCCATAACACAGAGCCAGGGGGCCCGGGGCCATAACACAGAGCCAGGGGGCCCGGGGCCATAACACAGAGCCAGGGCCATAACACAGAGCCAGGGAGTCCGGAGCCATAACACAGAGCCAGGGGCCATAACACAGAGCCAGGGGCCCAGGGCAATAACACAGAGCCAGGGGGCCCAGGGCCATAACACAGAGCCAGGGGCCCAGGGCCGTAACACAGAGCCAGGGGCCATAACACAGAGCCAGGGGCCCAAGGCTAGCTGAGTAACCTGAGAGACTGCACAACGAAAGGTGCGGAGCCCACTTATTCTGGCGGGGAAAATGTCTGTCAGCTCTCTCACTAACAGCCCCGCCCCCTCACACTCAAGAAAATTAACAGAATCTCCAGTGTTAGTCTTTAATCATATTAACTAGTCACCATACATGTTAACTAGGCTTCAATCGTGTTAACTAGTCACCATACATGTACATTAGCCTTCAATCATATTAACTAACCTTCAATTATGTAAGCTAGTCACAAATTTTAGCTAGCCTCCAATTGTTAATAAGTCACCATAAGTGTTAACTGGCTTCCAATTATTTCAGTCATATATAGGTTAACTAGCCTCCAATCATGTTAGTCACCATACCTATTAACTAGCCTCCAATCATGTTAATTAGTCACTATACCTGTTAACTAGCCTCCAATCATGTTAATTAGTCACTATACCTGTTAACTATCCTCCAATCATGTTAGTCACCATACCTATTAACTAGCCTCCAATCATGTTAATTAGTCACTATACCTGTTAACTAGCCTCCAATCATGTTAATTAGTCACTATACCTGTTAACTAGCCTCCAATCATGTTAATTAGTCACTATACCTGTTAACTAGCCTCCAATCATGTTAGTCACTATACCTGTTAACTAGCCTCCAATCATGTTAATTAGTCACTATACCTGTTAACTAGCCTCCAATCATGTTAATTAGTCCCCATACATATTAACTAGCCTCCAATCATGTTAATTAGTCACCATACCTATTAACTAGCCTCCAATCATGTTAATTAGTCACTATAACTGTTAACTAGCCTCCAATCATGTTAATTAGTCACTATACCTATTAACTAGCCTCCAATCATGTTAATTAGTCACCATATATGTTAACTAGCCTCCAATCATGTTAGTCACCATACCTATTAACTAGCCTCCAATCATGTTAATTAGTCACTATACCTGTTAACTAGCCTCCAATCATGTTAATTAGTCACTATACCTGTTAACTAGCCTCCAATCATGTTAATTAGTCCCCATACATATTAACTAGCCTCCAATCATGTTAATTAGTCACCATACAGGTTAGTCTCCAGCCATTTTTTTGTGTGTAATATCATACTATGTATGATAAATGAATCACTGTTCTGGCTATTAGCTGGTTATACCATGCTATGTGTCTTATAGCACGATACATGTGTTATAGCATGCTACATGTGTTATAGTATGATCTGTGTTATATTTGTGTTGTTATGTGTCATAGTATGATATGTGTGGTATATATGTGTTATAGCATGCTATGTGTTATAGTATGATATGTGTGGTATGCTATGCTATGTGTATTGAAGTATATGTGTTCTATAGTATTATATTCGTGTTACAGTATGATGTGTGTTATGGTATATGTGTGTTATAGTGTGTGTTTTATAGTATGATATGTGTGTTATAGCATGATGTCTGTTATAGTATGTGTGGTATAGTATGATATGTGTTATATAATGTGTATATGTGTTTTATAGTACGTGTGTTATAGTATGATATGTGTGTTATAGTATTACGTGTGTTATAGTATATGTGTGTTATAGTATGTTTTACATAATATGTGTGTTATAGTATATGTGTGTTATAATATGTTATGTGTGTTATAGTATATGCTATGTGTGTGTTATAGCATGATGTTTGTTATAGTATGTGCTTTATAGTATTATATGTGTTATAGTAGTGTGTTATAGCACAATGTGTTTTATAGTATGTGTTATAGTATATATGTTTTATAGTATGTGTATTATAGCATGATGTTTATTATAGTATGTGTTATAGTATGATATGTGTGTTAAAGTCTGATATGTGTTATAGTATGTGTGTTATAGCATGTGTTATATATAGTATGATATGTGTGTTCTAGTGTGTGTTTTATAGTGTGATATGTGTGTTAATGTGTGTTATAGTATATATGTGTTATAGCTTGATGTTTGTTATAGTATGTGTTTTATAGTTTGATATGTGTGGTATAGTATGTGTTTTATAGTATATGTGTTATAGTATGGTGTGTTATAGTATTACGTGTGTTATAGTATGATGTGTGTTATAGTATGTTTTACATAATATGTGTGTTATAGTATATGTGTGTTATAATATGTTATGTGTGTTATAGTATCATATGCTATGTGTGTATGTTATAGCATGATGTTTGCTATAGTATGTGTGTTATAGTAGTGTGTTATAGCATGTGTTTTATAGTATATGTGTTATAGTATATATGTTTTAGAGTATGTGTGTTATAGTATGTGTATTATAGCATGATGTTTATTATAGTGTGTTATAGTATGATATGTGTGTTATAGTATATGTGTGTTATAGCATGTGTTATATATAGTATGATATGTGTGTTCTAGTGTGTGTTTTATAGTGTGATATGTGTGTTATAGTATATATGTGTTATAGCTTGATGTTTGTTATAGTATGTGTTTTATAGTTTGATATGTGTGGTATAGTATGTGCTTTATAGCATGATGTTTGTTATAGTATGATGTTTATTATAGTATATGTTATAGCATGATGTTTTTTATAGTAAGATATGTGTGTTATAGTATGATATGTGTGTTATATAGCATGATGTGTTTTATAGTATATGTGTATTATAGTATGATATATGTGTTTTATAGTATGATATGTGTATTATAGTAAGATATGTGTTATAGTATGATATATGTGTGTTATAGCATGATGTGTTTTATAATGTGTTATAGTATAATGTGTGTTATAGTGTATGTTTTATAATATGTGTTATAGTATTATATGTGTTATAGTATATGTGTATTAAAGTAAGATATATGTGTTATAGTATGTGTGTTACAGTATGATATGTTTTATAATATATCTGTGTTATAGCATGATGTGTTTTATAATGATATGTGTGTTATAGCATGATCTGTTTTATAATATATGTGTATTATGATATGTGTATTATAGTATGATATATGTGTGTTATAGAATGATATATGTGTATTATAGTATGACATGTGTATTATAGCATGATATATGTCTGTTATATAGTATGACATATGTATTATAGTATATGTGTATTATAGTGTGATATATGTGTGTTATATAGTATGATATGTGTGTTATAGTATATGTGTATTATAGTACGATAGGTGTGTATTATAGTATGATATGTGTAATACATATAGTATGATATCTGTATTATAGTATGATATATATGTGTTATATAGTATGTGTGTTATATGATATATGTGTATTATAGTAAGATATGTGTTATAGTATGATATATGTGTGTTATAGTATGTGTGTTATAGCATGATGTGTTTTATAATATGTGTGTTATAGTATGTGTGTTATAGTGTATGTTTTATAATATATGTGTTATAGTATTATGTGTTATAGTATGTGTATTAAAGTAAGATATATGTGTTATAGTATGTGTGTTACAGTATGATATGTTTTATAATATCTGTGTTATAGCATGATGTGTTTTATAATGATATATGTGTTATAGTATGATATATGTGTGTTATAGCATGATCTGTTTTATAATATATGTGTATTATAATATGATATGTGTGTTATAGTATGATATATGTGTGTTATAGTATGACATGTGTATTATAGCATGATATATGTGTGTTATATAGTATGATATGTGTATTATAGTATGTGTGTTATAGTATAATGTGTGTTATAGTGTATGTTTTATAATATGTGTTATAGTATTATATGTGTTATAGTATATGTGTATTAAAGTAAGATATATGTGTTATAGTATGTGTGTTACAGTATGATTTGTTTTATACTATATCTGTGTTATAGCATGATGTGTTTTATAATGATATGTGTGTTATAGCATGATCTGTTTTATAATATATGTGTATTATAGCATGATATATGTGTGTTATATAGTATGATATGTGTATTATAGCATGATGTATGATATGTGTATTATAGTATGTGTGTTATAGTATAATATGTGTGTTATAGTATGTGTATTACATATAGTATGATATCTGTATTATAGTATTATATATTTGTGCTTATATAGTATATGTGTATTATAGTATGTGTGTTATAGTATGATATATGTGTGTTACAGTATGATATGTGTGTTACAGTATGATGTATGTGTTATAATATATATGTATATTATAATATGTGTGTGTGTGTGTTGTAGTATGATATTTCTATATATGTGTGTGTGTTATAGTATGATATATGTGTGTTATAATATGTGTGTGTGTGTATTATAGTGTGTGTGTTGTGTATGTGTATTATAGTATGATATACATGTGTATTATAATATATTTGTATGTGTGTTATAGTGTGTGTGTGTGTATTATAGTATGATATATTTGTATTATAGTATGATATATTTGTATTATAGTATGATATATTTGTATTATAGTATGATATATATATATATGTGTATTATAGTGTGTGTGTGTGTGTGTGTGTGTGTGTGTGTGTGTGTGTGTGTGTGTGTGTGTGTGTGTGTGTGTATGATAGTATGATATATATGTGTGTGTATTATAGTATGATATATGTGTATTATAGTATGATATATGTGTATTATAGTATGATATATGTGTGTGTATTATAGTGTGTGTTATAGTGTGTGTGTGTGTATTATAGTATGATAGTATGATAGTATGACAGGTGTCCCTGTGCTGGCTGCAGTCTAGCCTCCCTGGTGTTTTACCATAGTATAATAACATGCAGCAGTTGTGTCTCCAGGTAGCTGGCTGGCCATGTTACTCTCTGACTGACTGACAGATATTGACCTATCTCTTAGCATGGCCCTGGCCGCACCCACCTCAGACAGGAGACACTCTATCTCCATGAGTCTCTCCACTCTATGGTTTACATAGGCCGCCCATGAGGAGCTCGATCAGCCAATCAGCGGAGGCGTCTGATATATGTGCCCGGCTTGGTAACCAATGAGGTGAATGATTAGATATATAGCCAATGATGGGCCATGCTGCAGGTGCTGAGTCCGCCATCTTGGTACCTGGCAGGGAGCTGGGTTATTTAGTGAAGGTAGAAGCAGTAAGCAGGTGATGCGTTGTGTTAATAGAATGGATTCCCCCAGCTATAATGTACACAAACTGCCATGTGATAAAATCAATAATTCAGTATAATCCTATCAATGTGAGTGGTATTATTAATTATGAGCTGATACTGGGAGCCATGGGACCTGTTTGATGGGGATTGGGACATTTCTGCTTCACACTTTGCATGTTTTGTGACCCAGATCCAATGGTTGGGGTTTTATTTTATTTTTATTTATTTTTTTCTAATAAACTCTAACATTAGCCCACAAGTAGTAACCAATCATTGATTTCCATAAATCCCAAATAATCAGGACTATTATTCTGACCTACACATTCACATTCATTGCCCTGTCAATCTGTACATCTTAATCAAAAATGCTGTGTTTACTAATGCGTCCATATAATTATAAGCAGGGCTGGAAATTTCCACTGGTTCACTGGCCTGTGACAAGTTAGAAAATCCTGGTTTACACCGTATGGATTAATAACTATCCCGCTCCTAACTGCTAAACGTCTTTATAATGTATCCAGGCTTGGTGATGTAAATTACCTGTATTTCACATGGTATTATTTGGAATTCTCCTGTCTAATGTTTTCTCGCGTATAGTGTTTCCTTCTAAACTACCCAGTATGGCTTTCATTCACTGAGAATAATTGCATTTTTGCCGAAATTCTCCAGCTCAGCTTTTAATTACACTTAGCCTCATAGTTTGGCAAATCCCAGTTCAGTGAATAAAACCCAGTGTGTGTGGTAGGGGCACGGAATATGCTCCCAGCAAAAATCATAGAATTTTTTACCACAGGAGCCATTTACACACTGTCTCGGATGCGTATCTGTGCAGTGATGTAATCAGAATTAACACTTTAAAAGCCTTGGAGGTTAAAAATAAATAAATTTTAAAAGTACTGTTTACCGTATGTGTTCTAGGGATAGAGCTTGGGTGGCTGTTGGGGCTTCAACTCTAGAAGTTAAAATAAAGGCTTTAATTGCATCAGACAGCATAAAGTTAATTTCTAATCCAGACTGAGAGGTTCTATGTGCAGGCTAAACATTTATGTTAGGTGTAGTTCTACAATGGGGTAAGTGCACTTTTGGCCACCTTGTTCTACTAGAGCAGTAGTTCTTAACTCCTGTGTTGTGACCCATAATTTGGCACCCATGCTATTTTATTGGGTCCTTAACCGTTGGAATATGCACGTCATACAGGCATTTTTTTTTTTATTGGGTCCTTAGCCGTTGGAATATGCACGTCATACAGGCAATTTTTTTTTTTTTTAATATTTCAATTTTAGTGTTTTATGTTAAAATCTTAAAGTGGATCACCAAACTAATTGTGTAAATCATGAACGTTTAAATACAGTTGTAAATGAATGAATGTAAAGATAGTTTGTGTCCCTTGTAGGAAAGGTTAAGAAACCACTGATCTGAGTTATAGAAAGGAATAAGGTATATTGTGCATGCTGCACCTTGCATTACAATGGACTCAAGTGCTATTTATAGTCTGCAAACAACATTAAAGCCATTTTTCCATGTAAAAGGTGTTCAGAAAAGGTGAACATATTTTTTTTTTTTATGTTTGCTTTGTTTTAGCTCAGAATTAAAACAAAAAAACTGAATTCTAGTTGAAAAGCGCCAAATGTCAATATGTTTACCTTCTGGGTCTGGTTCCAGGTCATCAAAACACAAACCACCCTACCTGACTTTTACTGCTTCACTTCTCAGGACTGCTGGGTGCCGCTGCTGTCATTAAGTTACAATAAGAAATCACTGACATTTCAACTGTAAGTGATTGCTACCATTTAAAGCAACAGTAAACATAAACATAATTTTCCATTTGTGTCCAGGAGTCAGTGAAGAAACTTATAAATTGCTGTAAAGCTCACAGATTTAATTAATTAACTTGTCATTCAAAGGATGAGGTGAACATGCACATTTTTGTGTGTGAGTACAAGGTACGTTCGCTCTCGGTTGCGTTCTCTGTCTGTTGTGATCAGAATTAAACCCATGTGGTACCCAATAAATGACTATTATATGGACCAGTGTGGCAGGCTCTTCACATATGTAGTAGTATCCCTGGTCTCACTCTACCAATGTCTACAGTACAGACCCACGTGGCAGGTTTCCACAACTATGGTATGAATCCTTGTCTTGCTCTATCCATCCCTGTGGTATGAAACTTGCTTCAGAGTGCGTGGAGTGCCCATGAATGTTCGTTTTGGATCCATTGTGTCTTTATCTTGTTTTACAATCCTTTAGTTTCCTCAGAGTGATAAGAAAATCTTGTAGATTGGGGATGCAGTTCATTTGTCAGAATAACAACAAAGAGACATTTTAATATTGCATTTTCATAGTAAAATAAGCAAATATAATTACCCATGATACTGCATTCTAGAGCTGTCTTCTTCTAAAATATAACTTTTGATGAACCTGTGTATTAGCTCTTCAGAGTTGAGGCTGGTTCATTCGGTGGAAAGTGTCAGCTGATTGCTTTCAGCCAATGCGCTAAGCCCTGCACTGCTAGGCTTACCTTATACAGAGAGCTTTAGGCTCTTTGTCTGCAGTAGTGGAGACAGGGAGCAGCACCTGGAATACCCAAGGTAAGCTGTCAAAGTGCTCTAAAATGGTTTGACTGCTTACAATTGAGGCGCCAGGGCACTATTAGCACCATAACCACTATAGCACACTATGTTGTTTATGGTATTTAGAGTGTTCCTATAAGACAAGCAATATGAGAGAGTAAGGTTAGTACTGATGGGGTAAACTGTATCAGTTACCCATGTCTTTTGTTTCTTATACACCCTTTTCACTAAATGATGAGTTTTAGCAAATTAAAACCAAATGGCAAAATGAATGCTAAAATAGTATATTTAGATAAATTCTCCAATTGAGCCATGATGAGCCAACATAGTTGTGTCTGCTCTGAAACATGAGCTAAAATGTAAGCCACCAGCTTTGGCATATTTTCATGTCAGGCAACATTGTGACAACAGACAATACCAAAATCAAAATATCAAGGATAGGTGAAGGCATTACAATCAATAAGTGATAAATAGAAAGTTCTAGTGACTCCTATAATTCAGATCTAATATTCAAGGCATAAACTGGACAGTACGAAATGTTGGTATGGTGCACATAAAGTACATAGGGGCTTCAGCACAGATGCAACATTATAGTGAATTAAAAACAATATTGTTTAATTGAGGCTGAAGTAGCCAGATTGTGACTCTAACTTGTTTGCTTAAATATTGCACGGTTTTCAGTTGTATACATTTCAGTGTTTATAAATCCTAAATTCTCAACAGTACCAGTCATTGATGAGTACAGTAAGCACCATAACCACTACACAGTGCATTAATATTGAGTGAGTCACTTGCTAGTGAGGCTACATAATGGGTAACAAGAAAAGGCTGGGTTATTACAGTGATTGCAATTATTGGAGGTTAGAAGCTAAATACATTTCCTGGGGCTTGCATAGAGTGCGTAGAAACACTGTTAGGGTTTACACAGTAAAGGTTGAAATGTTGATAATAAAATGTTTTGGAAGACAAATAGAGAAATAAATCCAATGATTCAGTCAGAGAGAACAAAGCAAAAAGACTAGATGGACTGCTTAGTTCTTATCTGCTGTCGTTATCAGGGTTTCCATGTTTAGGTTTCTATGCTACACTAGATTCCTACTAATACTATGCTCTGTGACATAAAATGTCTGTGAAGTGTGCCTCCAGGGCATTTAATGGAATACCTTCACTTTATAGATAGTAAAAGATCACAGTTAGATATATTTTAGACATTTATGTATGTTTGTATATTAAAGGGACACTAATGTAAGGAATACAAACTTGTATTTCTCCTATTAGAGTGTTCTACAGGCTATTTAGATTTGAGGGCCACCCCAAAAGTCGTAAAATAAAACGTTTTGCTTACCTTTAGGCGCCTGATTATCTCAATCAAACGTTTCCCTAGAGGGAAGCATCGGTGGGGGCTGGTGCGGAATGATGTTCAGTGTTTTCTTGCAGACCATGGAGATGCTGGACCTTGCTTCTGCAAAGATTGCAGGATTGCACCAGGAAACCCTTCTAGTGACTGTCTGAGTGACTGCCACTAGAGGTGGCATTAAGCAACAATGTAAACACTGCCTTTTTTCAGAAAACTTGGTGTTTGCACTGCTCAGCTTGCAGGGACAATCTATGCGCCCCACAACCACTACATTAAAGGAACACTCCAGGTGCCATAACAACTTCATTGAAATTAATGGAGCTTCATACACTAATCTGCCACAACATTAAAGCCACTGAGAGGTGTAGTGAGTAACATTTATTATATCGGTACAATGGCACCTGTCAAGGGGTGGATATATTAGGCAGCAAGTGAACAGTCAGTTTTTGAATTTCATGTGTTGGGAGCAGGAAAAATTAGCACACTGAGACATTGACTGACAGCTGGGAGAAAAGCATATTTTGAAAAAGCTTTTTCTCCTATTCTGTACATTTGCCAGCAAGACTGCTAGCACAATACAGGGAGAGAATCGTATGCTCAATCAAATGAGCATACGTTGTTTGGGGCATGACAGTGCCCTTTAAGCAGTCTTTAAGATAATCCTATAGGAATTCAGATGTGTGGTGATGTTACTGGCCTGGAGGGGTCAACCAAGTGAGCAATTGACCCTGAAGCTAAAGTATTTGAAAGGTTTGATTGTAACTGTATGCAGTCACAGGGGGAATCGAAAAATATAACCAGGCCTTTATACATATCCACCTTCACTTTATTTTTCTGTGATCCTTTTTGAGCTTAGAGCAGCGGTAGCATCCCTCACCTCTATGGCTGGTGTGGAACGGCAAAATTAACAAGGCTTTGCAATATTGGGGCTGTAGGTCTTGCAATGTTGGGGCTGTAGGTCTTGCAATGTTGGGGCTGTAGGTCTTGCAACATTGGGGCTGTAGGTCTTGCAATATTGGAGCTGTAGGTCTTGCAATGTTGGGGCTGTAGGCAGGGCCGGACTGGGAAAAAAATTAGGCCCGGGCATTTTTCAATCAGAGCGGCCCCCTAAGAAGGGGGCGGGGCCAGAGAGTGTGTGTTTTGTCATCACTAATCTCAAAGTGAGCATGTTGGTTCAATGCCCAGAGCCCCGCTGAAGAGCTCTGGCATTAGAAAAAGGCCCCCAAATTTGTTCTGCGCAGCGCAAGCAAATTTAATAACATGCTTGCGCTGTGTTTGCTTTTAAATTGTCTCTGGTGTCTCCACAAGTGGGATACCAGAGGACAAAAGGGCCAGGAAAGTGCATGGTGCATATGTTTGGAGCCTGCTTGTGGGATTGCGTGTGTGTAGAGTGTGGTGTGGTATTGTATAAATAGGTCAATATAATTTGTGTTTGTGGTGTAATATGTGTGGCTAGGGGCTGTAGAGAGTGTGTGTATAAGGGGCATAGTTTTATAGGGGATGCAGCGAGTGTGTGCATACAGGCTGAAGTGTGTGTGTATAGGTGACGTAGTGTGTGTAGGGGTTGCAGAGAGAGTCTGTTTAGAGAATGTTGTATGTGTTTGCTGACAAGGAATGTAGTGTGTGTGTGTAGGAGATCTACTGTGCAAATGACCCAGTTTGTGTGTGTGTGTGTGTGTGTAGAGGATTAAGAGTGCATATAGGGTAAGGGATCTAGTGTGTATCTGGAGCGTAATGTGTGTAGTGGTGCAGTGTGAGGGGTGCTGTAGTGTGTGTGTGTGTGTGTGTGTATGTATATATTTATATATATTTGGACTTATTGTATGTGTGAAGGGCGCAGTGTGTGTATGTAAGAGGGGTGCTGTGTGTGAGGGTGTTTTTATCTGCTGTCACATTCTGTGTGCTGTGTGTGTCTGGGTGCTGTGTGTGTCTGGGTGCAGTGTGTGTCTGGGTGCTGTGTGTGTCTGGATGCAGCGTGTGTCTGGGTGCAGCGTGTGTCTGGGTGCAGTGTGTGTCTGGGGGTGCAGTGTGTGTCTGGGGGTGCAGTGTGTGTCTGGGTGCAGTGTGGGCGCGCCTGTGTGTGTCTGTGGTGCTGTGTGTCTGGTGCTGTGTGTGTCTGGGTGCACTGTGTGTGTCTGGTGGTGGGTGTGTGTCTGGGGGTGTGTGTGTCTGGGGCTGTCTGGGGTGCTGTGTGTCTAGTGCCAGTCTGGGGGGGGTGCTGTGTGTGTCTGGGGCTGTGTCTGGGGTGCTGTGTGTGTCTTGGGGGTGCTTTGTCTGGGGTGCTTGTGTGTCTGGGGTGCTGTGTCTGGGGCAGTGTGTGTCTGGGGGGGCTGTGTCTGGGGGTGCAGTGTGTGTCTGGGTGCAGTGTGTGTCTGGGGGTACCAGTGTGTGTCTGGGGGCTGTGTCTGGGGGTGCTGTGTGTGTCTTGGGGTGCTTTGTCTGGGGGTGCTGTGTGTGGTCTGGGGGTGCTGTGTCTGGGGTGCAGTGTGTGTCTGGGTGCAGTGTGTGTCTGGGGCACCCTGTGTGTGTGTCTGGGGGTGCTGTGTGTGTCTGGGGCCAGGGGTGCCTGCCTGTGTGTGTCTGGGGGTGCTGTGTCTGGGGGTGCTGTGTGTGTCTGGGGGGCTGTGTCTGGGGGTGCTGTGTGTGTCTTGGGGGTGCTTTGTCTGGGGGGTGCTGTGTGTGTGTCTGGGGGTGCTGTGTCTGGGGTGTGTGTCTGGGGGCTGTGTGTGTGGGGGTGTGCTGTGTGTGTCTGGGGCTGTGTCTGGGGGTGCAGTGTGTGTCTGGGTGCAGTGTGTGTCTGGGGTACTGTGTGTGTCTGTGGGGCTGTCTGGGGGCTGTGTGTCTGGGGGTGCGCTTTGTGTCTGGGGGTGCAGTGTGTGTCTGGGTGGTGCTGTGTGTGTCTGGGTGGTGCTGTGTCTGGGGGGGTGCTGTGTGTGTCTGGGGGCTGTGTCTGGGGGTGCTGTGTGTGTGTGTCTGGGGTGCTGTGTGAGTCTGGGTGCTGTGTGTCTGGGGGTGCTCTGTGTGTCTGGGGGGTGCTGTGTGTCTGGGGGGTGCTGTGTCTGGAGGCTGTGTGTGTGAGTGAATGTATTTTTTATTTAAATATATTTTTTTTACTAATAAAAAAATAAAAATAAATTATATCCCCCCCCCCTCCCTTCTTACCTTTATCCTGGGAGGGGGGAGGGGGAGGAGGAGATTCCGTTCTGCCTGGGGAGGGGTGGGGAGCCGTGCTGCCTTCCCTGGTGGTCCAGTGGTGAGAGTGAACTCTAACCTGCAGGTTAGAGTTCACTCTCGCGAGATCTGAGCGTTGCCGCGGCAACGCTCAGAATCCCGCGAGAGGACCGGCGGAGCTGCTTGTTAGAGCTCCGCCGGGTCCTCCCTCCCTCCCTCACCCAGCCGGCGGCCGCATCTCCCTGTCTGTGGGCCGGTGAGGGAGATCTTTGATCTCCCCACCGGCCCATGGAGGCACTATGCAGGGCCGGCGCTCGGATAGCGCTGGCCCTGCAGGGGCCGGCCGGGGAGATCCTGTGATCTCTCCTGCCGGCCTGGCCCCATGGCCATCGCGGCCCACCGGGCATTTGCCCGGTATGCCCGATGGCCAGTCCGGGCCTGGCTGTAGGTCTTGCTATGATGGGGCTGTAGGTCTTGCAATATTGGGGCTGTAGGTCTTGCAATATTGGAGCTGTAGGTCTTGCAATATTGGGGCTGTAGGTCTTGCAATATTGGGGCTGTAGGTCTTGCAATGTTGGGGCTGTAGGTTTTGCAATATTGGGGCTGTAGGTCTTGCAATGTTGGGGCTGTAGGTCTTGCAATATTGGGGCTGTAGGTCTTGCTATGATGGGGCTGTAGGTCTTGCAATGTTGGGGCTGTAGGTCTTGCAATGTTGGGGCTGTAGGTCTTGCAATGTTGGGGCTGTAGGTCTTGCAATATTGGGGCTGTAGGTCTTGCAATGTTGGGGCTGTAAATGTTGGGGCTGTAGGTCTTGCAATATGATGGGGCTGTAGGTCTTGCAATATTGGGGCTGTAGGTCTTGCAATATTGGAGCTGTAGGTCTTGCAATATTGGGGCTGTAGGTCTTGCAATATCTTGGGGCTGTAGGTCTTGCAATGTTGGGGCTGTAGGTTTTGCAATATTGGGTCTGTAGGTCTTGCAATGTTGGGGCTGTAGGTCTTGCAATATTGGGGCTGTAGGTCTTGCTATGATGGGGCTGTAGGTCTTGCAATGTTGGGGCTGTAGGTCTTGCAATGTTGGGGCTGTAGGTCTTGCAATGTTGGGGCTGTAGGTCTTGCAATATTGGGGCTGTAGGTCTTGCGATGTTGGGGCTGTAGGTCTTGCGATGTTGGGGCTATAGGTCTAAAAGTCCATCTATAAGTCCAAATCCAAAGATGATTACGTGTTTGTGCTTAAATTCCGCAAGTCGGTGGGAAGTGGAAAAAAATCTTTGTGACATGCTCTGATTTGTGATTGACAGCTCTGATTTCCAAGAGCTTCTGCAGTAGTCACATTTTACTTACAAATTTGTTTAATTAAAATCTTGTATCTTAAAGCCAACTCTAATTCTGCCTTGTTCACAGACCTGATCAGGTCCCTTACTACTATGGACAAAGTCTCCTTAAAATGTTTGGCTGTGCATGATGGGAGCTGGCTGACCTAGGTTGCTTTATACTGCGGTATATTTCCAATGAGTTAATTGTTTTTGTAAAGTATTGGTTGTTGCTGTCATTTTCTCAGCATAGACTTCTTACGGAGCTTGTTGGACTTTTGAACTTAAACGAAGCATGAATGATGGAGACGGGAGTTGTGTGGCTCCGGGGTTTCTAGGTGGGTCTTTGCCTTTAAATATAGAACAAACATAAGGGCTGCATTCCACTTGCCTCAATCAGCACAGGGGTGAGAATGAGGTAGGAGTTGTTGAGTTAACCCATTCTGTGCCAATAGGTCAGCAAAGCGTTGAACCGCCCCTCCAAATAGCTAATGTAACCTGTACATTGTATCCCAGTATAAATATCTATTACTTGGTCATATGAATTCAACAGAATAGTATCTGTAGTTACAGATCTTTTTACCATGGTTTACAGAAGCAGCATTGGGAGATGCTGTTTGTGTAATACTTTGTTGAAGACTATAAAAACTACACAATTTATAGAAGGTGTAGGGAACTTGTGATTTACTCAGCAGCAGCTGAACTTCAACACCCATCATTCTCACATTGCCTGGGCCTGTTACCAGTCTCCGTTCAGTGACTGCTATGTTGATGCACACAACCTCACAAGCTCAGCACGAGAATAGTGTGAATTATTAACACTCTGTATTGCCTCTGTTGAAGGATGTCAGGGTGAATGGTCAAATGTATGTGCAAGGGCGTGTGTAGCAGTGTAAGTAAATATATATTTTAATAAAACATGTAGAATCGCAAAAAATCCTCTTTAAACAGCTTTTGAAGTCTGAAATATGTGGCAAGTTATGTACGCCAGTAAGCCAGGGGTATTTAAATCTGTCCGCCTTTTGGGGTGACTGTGGGCCCACCTACCACTCTGAATCTGTTCAGTGAGGTTCTCTAGGATTCTGTGATGGAGCAGTGAGCAATATGGCATGTATATTGGTATGCACAGATTTCACTCACTGGCACAGCAGCCATAGGCGATACTGCCATGCTAGTGTCATTGGAATACAAGCTAGAGTCACTTTACACTGATTACCAACCTTGCTGTACATTTACTAGCAATTTGGTTTACACAATGCAAAGATGAGATGGAATGATGTCTTGCCTTATAACTATCAGTGGTTCATAAATGGACCTCCACCAAATCTCCCTCACTGTATCAGACCCCTGCCACATTAACTGAGAAATAATTACATGCAAAACATGCTGTCAAACGGTACTTTTAAAATCTTGCAGCCCATGTATAAGAAGCAAATGTCAACACAACTTTGTTCAGAACTGTTTCCTTTAAAGTCATGCCAGTAGCTTTAGGTAGGACTGTGGGTATTCTGAGAGCTCTAGTTATTCTCACACTGCTCACTGTTTAACACAAAACGCTGTGACGGTGCCTACAGACTCTTTGCGCCATAACAACTACAGCGAGCTGTACTGGTTAACGTGCTTCGAGTTTCTCTTTAAGTTCCTTGAAATCCATGCATATTTCCATTCCCTTTAGATATTTAGGTTGATCAATGCATTAGGTGCTCTGGCTCTCAAAGTGTTAAGTCTTAAGGATCAGGCAAGACATTCTCTGCCCAGAATTTGTATCTGTTAGTTGTGCAGTTTATGTTGGGCAGGACACTTAGTATCTCATGTCTTATCACATTGCAGAATGCCATTCTGCTGCAGCTGTGTTTGCACAGCGCTGCTGTACTTTGCCTAGCTCCAGATAAGATTGTGAGCAAAGGTGAGGTTCAGATCAGAACCTTTTCCTTAATGTTTCCCTTTTCTCTACCCACTTCCTTCTCTTTCTGCTGGCACTGTTTATATCTTTTTCTGGGCACGAGAGATATAGTTTGTCACAAATGGTCTCTATCCTTTCATATTTTGTGAGACATGCAAATCTGTAAGGCAAAAGATGGCCAAAAGGTGTCTAGTGACACCTATAATTCAGATCTAATATTCAAGGCATAAACTAGACAGTACGAAATGTTGGTATGGTGCACATAAAGTACATAGACTAAATCTCCTGTGCTACCTGTCAGCCTTTAAACACCTTTGTTCTATCACTTGGCTAATGCCACAGACACATTTTACATTCAGCCTCAGGGATTATGAATTAATGCTCAACATTAAAGAGCCATATATATGTACCATACATCTCATTGAAGTGGTTTTGGTACCTGGAGTCCTCTGGTGCTGCCTCACAGTTTGTTGTTAATATACCATTTATTAATCTGTTTAATTCTGAAAGAGGGACTCTGGGTGTTCGCAGCCCAGCCCCTCTCTGCTGCTTATGCTGACACATCTGCATTAGCCCTTGCTGCGATAGGTTTAAAGGACCACTCTAGGCACCCAGACCACTTCAGCTTAATGAGGTGGTCTGGGTGCCTGGTCCAGCTAGGGTTAACCCATTTTTTTATAAATGGGTTAATCCAGCCTCTAAAGCCTCTAGTGGCTGTCTCATTGACAGCCAGTAGAGGCGTTTGCGTGCTTCTCACTGTGAAAATCACAGTGAGAAGACGCAAGCGTCCATAAGAAAGCATTGTAAATGCTTTCCTATGAGACTGGCTGAATGCGCGCGCAGCTCCTGCCGCGCATGCACATTCAGCCGACGAGGAGGATCGGAGAAAGGTGAGTGTTTAACCCCTTCCTCTCGCCAGAGCTGGCGGGAGGGGATCCCTGAGGGTTTCCTGGCACTATAGTGGTCTTTCAAGTGATTGGCTGAGAGCATCATCTGACCTTATTTAGTTTACTGACGGCTAGAGTAAAACTCAGTCATGTGACACAGAAGTCCCACAGGAAATCATTAATTCAATGCTTTCCTTTGGAAGCTTGGATGTGCATACGGCACATGCACACCAAGTACCCAGTGCTCCTCTATAAGGAGTATTGAATTGGACATTGGCGGAGGAGGCCATTTGGTGGAGAAGCTCAGCGCTGGAAAACGGTAAGGAAAATCATTTACTTTATTTTTTTATATGTTAAACCAGGGTGTGGGCTGTTGTTAAATAGAGACAGGGACAGGTTTGTATTCCTAATGCTTTAGTGATCGTTATATTGGTAACATTCTCCAACATTTGATTTTTCCTTCTCTTGTACTGACCACTCCGTTGTCACCACGTAACCAGTTTAGCGAATAAACCCTTAAAATATACCCGGAGGGTAGTTAATGCATCTCTTGGGTGTTCTAGAAACAGGCGTTTCCATTAGCAGTACTGGTCAGGTCTCATCATTACTGACAGTGTGAAGAATTAGGGATGTTTCTTTCTTCCTTTTCTGTTTCTTTACCATGTTTTGGTTTGTAAACATCACCACATGGGATGAAATATTAATATGCTCTTTAATATTTAATACGTTTAGCTGCATGAGGACAGAAGAAGGCTCGTGGATTGGCTGGCATTGGCTCAAACCAAACATCCCTTGAGCCAGATAAAAAAAGAATGCACATTTTACTGTAGACATATTCCTTCCAACTGATCTTTAACACTAGGCCATGCAATCATAAGATATCATCTGTCTCAGCGATTGCCTTCCTGCTCTACACTCGCTGAATGCCATCAGAGTTATGGTCCAAAAACAACTGTAACACTTTGTAATATATTCCTATGATATCGTATTTAAATAAGGATTAGGATATATAGAAACACTTGTATTTAACTAAGCAATTATAATTGTACATACCACTACCTGTGTTTGAGAACGCTGTTTTTGTTCTGTGATTTGTGGGCCCCTGGGTAATGGTTTAGTTCTTTAGGGAAAGTGGTGATTGCTTGCAAACAGAATTGCCCATAGAGGAAGTGTGAAATATCTTTACTAATGACCAGTTTACATTCCTCGTTTGTGTCCTACAGCAGGTTATTTTCTCTATTATAATTACAATTATATAAATATTTTAATTGTTCAGAAATTGACAAGAATGTTTTAAATGCATACCATGTTTTTCTATTTGCCAGTTAATTTTGGATGGAAAGATTATTATTATTATTATTATTATTATGTTATTATTTTTATAGCGCCAACAAATTCCGCAGTGCTGTACAGATTATTGTGGTTCTAGTAATTTCACAGACTCTTTTTTTCTGATTACAGCGCTGCAAGGACCGGCTGAACTCTTTGGCTATTTCTGTCATGAACCAGTGGCATGGTGTCAAACTTCGAGTGACTGAAGGGTGGGATGAGGATGGACACCACTCAGAGGAATCCTTGCATTATGAAGGTCGTGCTGTGGACATCACTACCTCCGACCGAGACCGCAATAAGTACGGGATGTTGGCAAGGCTGGCCGTGGAAGCTGGCTTCGATTGGGTGTTCTATGAATCCAAATCGCACATCCACTGCTCTGTCAAGTCAGGTAAGATCAGCATATTCAATATGCCAATCTCTTGTTTAAATTGATGTTGTTGTCCAGTGAGTTACATTTCTTCTCTCTGCTGTAACACTTTCAGCCATCTCCAATGTATCTATCCATGGCTGCACATCGTAAATGCTGCCAAGAAAATATTGAAACAAATTAAAATCCGAATCCATTAAAATTTGAAAATTTTCATTGAAATGTTACCATGCTTCTGAATTCCATTTGCACCACTGAACTCTCCATTAGGCCCTATCTATCAAAGCAATTAAATTGTTCTATGTAATATTACTAGCCATACCTTGTACACACAGGCACATGTAATGTAGACAATGGCACACAAACCTTGCCATTAACAGGCATGAGCTGATTGTGTCAATCACCAAACTAATATTATGAATTATCACAAAAATTTAATTATTTATATCAAAGTATTTGTTGCAAAGGGAAGCAATATCTAGTTTGTATACAATGTAAATAAATAACATAAGCAGATTGCTCTGGCATCACCCAGCTTTCTGAAATGCTGGGATTCGATTCTGATTGGGTAGTTACATTGGCTCCAGGTTGGTATTTTCATTAATGCTATGTAAACATGTAGCATATACACATGGCTATGTACAAAATGTGTAGGTTTATATTAAAGTTATAACATACTACAACAATATTTGAACTTGGACACAGATTGCTCTGAACACACTGTATATGCTATTACATTATTTTAGTGGTACTTTGCCTTTGACCCGATCTTACTTCAAACAGTGACCCTTGTGCCAGATCATGACACTTAATGGGCGTAATATTTTCGTACAGTCCTTTAACCTTTCACTCATGTGTAGAAGGAATCCCACAAACCTGATATGCAATATTGACCATTCTTTCCAAATAACCTTCTTCAAGACACAGATATATGATGCTATAGCCAGTTTCTTAAAGGAACACTATAGTCACCAGAACAACTACAGCTTATTGTATTTGTTCTGGTGAGTAGTATCATTCCCTTCTGGCTATTTGCAGTAAACACTGGCGTTTCAGACAAAATGCAGTGGTTTAAATTACAGCCTTGAGATAACTCTACTGGCCTGCTAGAGGTGCTTCCTGGGGCAGTGCTGCACAGTGTGACTGCCATTGACGATCTTCTCCTGCATGGAGACACTGAACTTTCCTCATAGAGATGCATTGATTCAATTCATCTCTATGGGGAGATGCTGATTGGCCAGGGCTGTGTTTTACTTGAGCTGGCTCTGCCCCTTATCTGCCTCCTTGATAGTCTCAGCCAATCCTATGCAAAAGCATTGTGATTGGCTCAGATTCCCAATTTTGATGATGTCAGCCAAGCAGGCAGCACGGACAGAGCCAGCAGCTGCAGACTTGAACAAAAGTAAAATTTTCCTACATTTAGGAGGACATGTGGGGCTAGATGTTGGTTTTTACACTATAAGGTCAGTAATACATGTTTGTGTTCCTGACCCTATAGTGTTTCTTTAATAATATCTTTATGTAGTGTAATGTACTTCACCTGAATTGGAGAATTGGCTACATTTGGAGCTGCATATGTTTGAAAACTACAGAACAAAAAGGTTGGATAAGGAGTTGCAGATTTTAGAATTAGTTTCATGGGGAATATAGTTGATAAAAGTTAGCGTTGTCTGTTCTTTACCCATGTTAGTCTGCACTAAATCATGTAATGTTAATGGAAATTAGTGTAAGATGATATGGCACTAAATACTAATCACGTTTTATTTGAGGGGTGATACAGTGCTTTAATTTGAGTCTTTATAATTGTACAGCCATACATTTCTGATGTTTGATAAAACTAGTACCCATTCATTTATCCCATTTATATGCAAACAAAAAGTTACCTGCCGTTTTGGTTCTGTATAAGTGTAAGATAGGTTCTAGAGCACACAAGACATGTAATTTTGTAGCAAAGCCCTTCAAACTCTGTGTCACACTGTATGAATGTGACAAGCACGTCCTTATAACAGAGCCAATCATTTTACTGGCAAGATGCAGAGAGATGCGCCGCTTGGCTTAATATTTAGCAATTCGGAGAAACTGGATTTTCAGGCACATTTCACTTTTTTTTTTGTTCTAGGGCTTTTTCAGTTTCATATCTATAATACAGAATACAAAGAAAACGGGGACTTTGTGTTTAGCAAACATAAAAATACCATAGAGCAGCACCATAGAGACAAAATAAAACATGTGTCATCTGTAAAGCAGACATTAAGTCAATAATGAAGATGGACAAGGCAATAGGCAACCCATTGTATTCCAGAAAACTCTCACTAGGAGAACATGGATTCGTCATAGAACCAATAACTTGGGAGGGGATTCTGGTACCGTTTCTACGTATAAGCATCTGACTATGGTTTCATATTTGCGTCGCAGCACGGACAGCCCTGAGGGGCTAAATATGACTTGTGTTCCTCTGTATGAAAGCTGTTGAAGTCTCTGATTGTAAAAGCCACTTTTGAGTTGAAACCCTCACTTTGCAAGCTAAAGGTTTTTTTTTTGTGAATAGGTGGTCACTTTCTGGTTTTCATCCTCAAATTATCTTAATCTGGTCGACTTTTACAAACTTGTCGTTTAGTTAGAAAATACCAATCAGCGGTAACTATACCTTGCTGAATCAGCAATGTTCAAAGTCTCATGGAAATTACATTAATCTGCCCTCGATTTGTGAATTTATGATCTTGTGGGGCTTGGTATCCAGCAAAATGTCCATTAGATTTCTACCTGTTGTATCTCTACTGGAGTTTTTAGGGTTTACTGGTACCCTAATCATTGGTTAGGCTGGGAAATCCTCTATCCTCTCCTGTTATCTGGTTTTACATAGTTTTATTTAACCATTACAGACACACGTTTGCTTTTTATCAACTACACTGCAGAACAAGGTCATAGTAGGAAAAGAAAGCTCTATTCTCCCCCTCCCCACCCCTCTCCCCCCAAACTCTAGATTATCAATGAAACTAAATGCAAGATGGAAGAGATTCCATAGTCCCAGCAAACCCAGTGTCCTCTGCACCAGAACAGGGCAGTGTTTGCATCCAGCTTTGGTATTTATGTTATGCAGAAACAACAGTGAGAAATCTAAGGATGGATGTGCTCTTCGGCTACTCTTTAATGTATGTGTGAATGATTGAGCATATATGTGAATAATTGTGTATATGTGTGAATGAGTAAATGGCATCAGTGTGTTAATTCAGCTTTGTCTGTGGGACTCTGATGTATGCATTCTTGAGTGATATTCCATGTGTGTCTGTATTTAAAATAAAGGCCTATTCACCTGCCCACAAAGACTGCTCAGACAGTAAAGACAAGTTTCAGATGAGTCAAGCATAATTAGACAAAAAAGGTTCCTGTTTGCAAAAAGCTCATTTTGTGTGTTGCTGATTATTTTATTTTGATTATTATTTCTTTTATACGATGTATGATCATCACACACTGTGTGCTTTCTATGGTCTCGCATGAACGCCACTGTTGTGGCTGCCTAACGGACTCAAGAGCTGACATTCCAGTATGTTGGTTGACTATGGAAGCTGCAAAGAAATTTGCTGAAATATTTAGAGGGAGGTAATCCCTGTTCATCTAGGGTTGTTCTTGTAGTTCCTCTCTTATGATGATCAACTCAGGGGTGCGCGGGTGAAGATCGGCCCCTTTTATTGGTAAGTATGTTTCAGTTCAGTGCTTTACATATTCTCATTTAGGTTAGTTGACTGAGGGTAGCTTATGCCTGTCTGTCTGCTTTCTCATCAGACTCCTCCGTCAGTGGTGTCCAAGCTGCCACACCCCAGAATAATGCCTGGAAGCCTCCTGCCAATAAGAACAGACCTGAGAAAGCTGAAGATGTGTCTGCTGATTGGAGGATGCAGGGGGTGTCTGATGTACAGTCAGAACGTGGGGATGGGGACCACTGGGATAACTACATGAGGTGAGTGACATAACTGCACAAGTAGTTACAATGTATCAAGCTTCTACAACTGTTCTGAAGCAGACACAGAAACCACGCAGATTGCTACTTTGTAATTACAGTTGCTATGGACTCCATATTTGTACTTTTTACTATAATACTGATGGTGGAGGTGAAAAAATGAGAAGGAGAGTAGCACTTATGCTCATTGTAATAAGTCTAAAGGCACGTTACTGTTTCCAACAGGTTCTCCTCTGATTCCTAGTCCAGCAGTTTTACAGCCACATTGATCATGCACTAATCACATTTTCATATTACTAAGCAAAAATCTGTCCAACATTAGACATCATTGATCGGCTGAGGACAGGGATAACCACATCTGTAGTGGCTGTCGGGTTCTTCACTAAAGACTTTCAATTATTAAAACTCTTCACATTCAGTGTCACCACACCCAGCATTAGGCTGCCAAATGCAGTGAATGCTGCTCATTGGATTCAGTGCATTAAATGAGCACAGCAATTGCAATACATGTGCAGTAGTTCCCAAGTTATTCTCTACGAGTACCATTAGGCGGGACAGTGATCTGAAAAATGGCCAGTGCAGCGCTACCAGTGGGTTAAATGGCAGAATTTCGTTTTAAAAGGGTTGGCATAATCTAAAAGTACTAATGAACACACTTTAACATTAAATAAAATTAAAGCATTTTTCATGTTTGAGTGTTCATTGAAGGAAGTATCTGATATTGCTCCTTGTTAATTAAGATATTTACTTTCTGCAACATAATTTTTATATTTATTTTAGAGCGATGTATGCCAGCCACATTTACAGGGCTATTCACGAAAGTGAGATTCAAAGTGGATTTAAAAGTCAATTTCCAATGTAAGGCCAAAACCATTGAATTAGAAAAAAAATCTAAGTCAGCTATGCTTCATGTTTAGTTTATTTGGCATAAAACTTGATATTCACTTTGAATAACCCTATTATGATCAAACAACATAGATACAAAATATATCTGCCTTATCTGCCTCAGGCCTTGCTAAGTAGTGCATGATCAAGGCTGTATACAAGACTGATGTTATGAAAATAAGAGAATGAGAAAAGCACTATATCCCTGGATTAACCTCCAGGTCGGAGTAGTGTAGATTAATACTGTAAAGAAAATGTATTACTATACAAATATAAATGTAAGAATTATGTTTCACAAGTGCAGACTAGATGGGCCACATTGATCTTACCTGACAGTATATCCTTTATTTCTATAGCACTTACAGCTGTGCTTATAAATTATGTTGTTTTTTTAAATTTCTTATTTAAAAGTATTTATTTTCTCATACATCTTAGTAACACTGGCAGTAATTAGTCCAAGGATAAGGGGGATATCTATCCCACATTGCTTTGCCAGAATCTCACAAACTGTACTGATTGTATTTATGATTATTAGAATGTTTCACTTTCTTAGAATGTTGTAAATTGTCTGAATTTGTGTTTGATCAATAAAGAGAGAAAGGAGTGAATTCTAAGATCTAAAGGAATTTTCCTTATTTTGACATTGATGGAGTTTAACTATAAAAAATAATTTAGTACTTGAAAAATGCTATTATGTCTGTTTTTGTCTTTTAAGGTATTCAAAAAGCAAAACCATACATAATAGCCTTTTCCTATTCTAATGAAGTATTCGGTCAAATCACTAGTTACCGGAAAAAAAACAATTGTTAAAACATTGTTGCACAGATGTGTCATATAATGCGGAATTCTACAATTACATAAATATTTATCTTTAGTAATTAAATAGAATACAGTGAGAAAACTGCTATTCAGTTGCCAGAGATAAACAATTCTCCACTCATAGAATCCAGTGGGCTTACCTGATGAGTATACTTTTGCTAATGCTTAGTCCCTTCACATATATAAAACTCTGAGCCTGTTGTATAGGCTTTCATATTGATACATTGTCTGCTTGCTGCACATTCAGCATGACACTGGTGATATTTTTTCTGTTAAAAAAATGGTTTTCTTTTCATTTAAACAAATTCCATTTAATACACATATGAAACCAAGTGAATGTATCCTCTTGTTTACGGCAGTTTGCTTGTTCATAAAGCCAGCCTAATTTGTATCATTGCTTGTTTTGCTTCAGTGCACAACGAGTTTAACTCTTTGAGTACATTTGTAAAATCTGCTAGTTATAATTTGGTATATATTTGTCAACTCGGTTTATAAAAATGCCCATTAGATTTAAAGTCCTTTAAATTCCCATTAACCTGCTGAATTAGTCAGGATCCTGTTAGACAACCATTGCAAGATTTAGAATTCGCTTCTCACTTAAGAAACTTTAATTCAGTCGTATATTGAGGCAAACACATTTACAATGACTAAAGCCTTAACAAAATAATAGAATATTGTACCTCTGATATAACAGATTTTTTATAAATTGTAAGAATACGTAGAAACAGGGTAAAATAGTACATTCTGACATTCTTATCCCCAAACAGAAGATGCTATGATAGTAAAGTGATGTTGGTTATATTGAGAGATCAGTGAAGGCTATATGCCAGCTGTCCATCTGGGTACACAATGAACATAAATTCTGTGGCCGCAGTCTGCCTAAAAGCTGCATACATTTTATCTTACTAAATTATTCTACTAAAATGGTCCACCCAGACACCAAATATGTATTAAAAACAAAGTTAGATCACTCTGTGCTTGATACGTAAATCAGATTATCTGTAAAGCCGCTGCATATTATGTAGCACATAAAATCATAATAATTGTTTACAGGCAGATACATATATGTGTTATGGCTTCAGTTAAGTAATCCGTTAGGGATATGCCACTATGTAAAGAAATAATGTTTTATCAAGGGTTAGAATAAAAAAGCATTATTTGAAAATATAGTTTAACTGATGGCGTGGGGGATCATTTTCACCTGTATTAGGTAATGTGAAATAAATGATTTTGTATGAATTGTTTTATGAAATGTTTGGTATTAATTGATTCTCATTGGAAATACAGTGGAACATTAAGTCATTTTACTGAGCTTGCCATTATTTGATTACACTTTTGTGTACAATCTACTTTCACTCAAAAAGCAACGCACTCAACTACTATCCACAGAAATAATATATTTTAATGTTTAGTGTTGACATTATAGTTGTTCCCCTATAGATGTTAAACATATGGGTTTAATATATTTATATACAATACCACTTATTTTCTTTTTAAAATGCTTAATCTCTCCTGATTCAAACATAACTAAACCTAGTGTGGATGTTTTCATGTATACACTAAAACATGAACGTATAGTTAACTCAGTTGGTTAATACACCACTGATATTCAAATCTCAGGGCTGCAGGTTTTACAGCCGCCAAGTCCAACTCTTTGAGCTGGGTAATAATAACATCTATAACTCAAGATACATTTGAATATTTGAAAACTAAACACAATCTCACGGTATCTTGGTAATGCTTTGATTATTAATCTGTAGCTTTGTTCCTTGTTTCAGGGGTCCTGGGACAGAGGAATTGGGGTCCACTGCTTGGAAAGCTAAAAATAAGAAGAAGAAGAAAAAAGATGGACAAAAAAAGAGTAAAAAGGAATCAAAAAGGAAAATGACAGATGCAGAAGGGAAGAAATTAAAGAAAAGGAAAAAAAAGGGGGAAATGGAAAATATGAAAGATAAAGCATTGGGGAAAGAGGAAAGGAGACAAAGAAAGGCTGTAATGACTGGGGAGCAGAAAACAGTAGGATTAAAGCCAGAGTAAGAGATATTATTTTATGGAGTTTGGAGAGAGTGGATGGAGGGGAGGCTGGACCTTCCAAGCACAGCACAGTGGATGCAGGAAGAAGCAGAAAGAATGGAAGAGTAAAGGGTTAAGAATAGAGAAGAAAGAGAGAGAGAGAGAGAGGAACAAGCATGAACTGAGAGAGAAGATAGAAAAAAGGAACTTGTCTTTTAAGTTGAGGTTGTGAGAGCTAATATAATAATGAGATCTTGATTGTAGGATAAAGATGCAAAGCATAGAGTAAAATACAATGTTGCAACATTATGCTTTTGAACTAATCCGCATAGTTGATCAAGACATAGATATGTGGGTGAAGCTAGGTAAATACGCTAATGGAAAAAAGGCAGCCAACTGTTCACTTATAAAACATTCAAATCGTTTTTCAAGAGAGAAAAATATATCACTGCAGTGAGCAAATTTGCTGCTCCCTTAAGATGTGAGTCTGTCACCAGAAGAAACCAAAAGAAAAATGACACATTTCTACAGCACAGAAAAATAACAAATCACAATCATTTGTGAAAAACAAACATTTATTATAGATTTTCCAAGTTATAAAATTCTAACACACTTCCAGTGCTCCCACCGCTGGCACCCAAATGACTATGATGATAAAAACCCATTGCAAAATGATCACGTTTGCGAAACATTCTCACATCCCTTGTAAGTGTCAGATTTGCTGTGAAGACATGAATGAAGTAGAAAGGCGATTCAATAAATTATTATTTTTTAGAGCAGGAATGTCTGTAGAAATCTGTCTAGCCATTGTTTAACTAAAACATAAGAATGATGGGATTGGCAGTCTGGAAACAGATGTTCGTGTAATCAGTTTACCACCCAGATAATATGGTGTCAAAGAATTGACAAACAGGGCTGTTCAACATGCTGTACCCCCGCTGATAGTGGAGATCTCTGGGTTCCATATTAGCTAATTGCTGAATGGTCACATGATACTCAGCACTGTATCACAACCTTTATCAGGCATCCAGACACCTGATTAGACAAATGCTATTATTGAAGACTTTAACGAACAAATGAGCTAATATATTATTGTGTGCAAGTGTATATTTGGATTTTGATGTTTCATCATTCGGTACTATCACAATCATATAATGTATATTTTGCTTCTGTAAAATTGTATAATGTATTTAAAATAAACAGATCTATGTGAACGACAGGCATTGTGTGATGTTTTTCTTCGTTGGTATCTCGAGGGGAGGGGAGGAAATCCTGTGTCGTTTGAGTGGTTGTGGACTATTTTCCCCACTTTCTTAGAGAGCAGAAAAAAATGAATTCAGTGACAAATGTAAAGTACAGTGCACAGAAATGTTTTTAAAAATGTTGTCTTGGTTTGCAACACAGTGCGTTTTTTTTCACTAAACAGACATTTGTGATGAGTTGAACTGACTTGCAATGTGATGGCAATGTAAAAATAACACAGTACAGATTATATGATAATACAGATTGTGAATGGTCCTTCGTGGGTAACATTCCCAGCCTAATCCATACTGCCTGCCTAATTTGTGATTACTTACTTTCTACAAGATTTGTGCATTACTGACTCAACAGCCAGCTGACAAAATTAAGGCACAATTAAAATGAAATCCAGCTATTGTGTCGAATTAGAGATTTTTTTTTTCTTTGGTTTGGTTTGCCTTAATGACACAAATTGGATGGCGGTAAACCCCAAACTAACTGTAAACGTACTAAAGTTTGATTGTGGGTCGTTTAATTGACCTGGGAATTTTAGACCAAAATAACCAATCAGAAATTCCAATGGCTTTTGCTTTGACAGATATTTGTTTTTCCAGGTAGTAAGACTTGGGACACTTTTTCTTCCTTTCATTTTATAGTCCGTTGTTTAACTATATATATATACATATATATAGTTAATGCATTGCTAAGCACAAATACACACACCAGTCAAGCCATAAGACTTGCTTTCCCCACAGAAATCTCACTTGAACAGTGCTCTCACTACTGCAAGGGATTCTGGGTAGGCATATGCAAATGAGCTCAACAAAGAACCACCTTTATCCCTTATTATTCCACTTTATACATGGATTCCTTGGAGTATTTGTTTGCTGTATACAACAGCTTTGAAACACAACTCAGGAAGAGGAGCAAAGCCAGTGAACCACTCATGGACAGCTGTTTCATTGTTAATGCAACTCATGAACATGAGGTTGGTTACTGGCTTGCATTGGAGGCTTAGTGTTCCTTGTACAGTACATGAAAACAGAGTTGTGGTGGGGAAAAAAGTGAGTTGTGTTTCAAAGCTGTTGTATACAACAGCCTCATTCTCCAAGGAATCCATGTTTAAAGTGGAATTATGAGGCAAAAATGTGGTTCTTTGTTGAGCTCATTTGCATATGTCTACCCAGAATCCCTTGCAGTAGTGAGAGCACTGTTAAAGTGAGATTTCTGTGGGAAAAGCAAGTCTTATGGCTTAACTGGTGTGTGTGTTTGTGTTTAGCAATGTATTAACTATCCACTTACCGTACTTCAGGTGAAGGGGTTTCATCCACACTTTTTTCCCCACCACAACTTAATTAATGTGTATATATATAGATATATATTTATATAGTTGAACAACTTAATATAAAATGTATATATACGTACATGTGTTTTGTTTTTTATTTACTTTATGTGTCTTAATCTACAATTACCATTTACTGATACTAGAAAGTCTAATAAAATATATTACTGAATTTCCTAACTAACCCAGGCTGGCGAACAGAACATAATCTGTAGATTGGAAGTGTGTTTGACCAAGGCCTCCTCCCTTTTCTTTGTTTGTACAGAGTACTGCATAATATGATGGCCCTTTGCAAGTCAGCCCCTTACCTGCAAACCTGAATATTCGACTCCTCATGTTTCCGTCTTTAGTCTTTGCCCCAAACTCCCTATTTATTGCCAATATGTTTCAGTATACTCAGGGTAGAGAAGAGTTAACAAATGTTAAAATATTGCTGCCACTTCTTGGCCTATCGGCATTCCTCAGACATTGGATCTGCAGATGTAACCCCATCTTTGCATATCTAGATATTTTAGCAATTAATGGTTAATGATTAGACCCGGCTTTCCTGTTGCTGGAGTGAGCTGGTCCTGACAGGTCCTATCCTGCCCCGCACTCCTGCTGTGATGTTATATGGCAGCTTCGGGTCAGGAAGGTACTTGCTCAGGTACAGGGATTGCAAACGCAGCCATGAGCATGTTAGACAGACACACAGAAGCAGGGCCACGCTCTTACAGCAGGGATACAAACACACATCTATAATTCTATGACATCTGCCAGGGATGAAAATAAAATATCACTGCTTTATACTGGGGACACCCCATACAAAGGCCTCTACTTTTAAACCACTTTAATATTTTTTTTAACAACAAAACTGCTGGTTGAGGATTGATACATTTATTAGTAATTTAGATATTTAAGAAATTTTGATACATGACTTTAAAGCACTAAATGTATAGACATGTAAAATAAAGATATGCTCACATTATTACTCTGATAGCTATACGGCACGTTTTATGCTTTCTGAAAATCTGAAAATTCCTCAGTTAGTCAATTCAATATTTCTCAGTTCATTACTCCATAGTAGATCAGGAAAAACAACTTTCAAGACAATTTGCAGTCAATGCTAATACTACGCAGGATCTAAAAAGCCTTCAGGACCATAACCACCTGCAAATGTGTTGAGTAATTCAAAATCACTTTGCTCATTTTTTAGTTGTTTTGTGTTTTGCCCTGTGCATTCTTGGGGATGTTATTGTGAGAGGCAGGACATCAGAGAAGTAACCTTGGTTGTATGGACAAGGTCCCAAACTGGCACTTTCTGACATTCCTAGGTAGGCATTTAGCAGTGATGGGGTTAATTGAATTGTAGAGTAGCATGTTTTTGTTTTTTTCATCCTGTGGGAGATTCAGTGCAGTAGCTAGAGGTCTCCTTGCAGAGATTGAAATATGGTTAAAGAGGTGTATGATGTAAATGTGTGTAAAGCGTGTCTGTCCGTGGGTTAGTGATTGGGGAAAAGACACAGGAAGCGAGGGCTATTACTGCACTGCTAATTGAGCATTACCCTGCCTCTAATCACATCGCACAAGGTAAGCAGGGGGAGAGTTGGGAACCGTGAGGTTAGGTAGGGACAGATACTCAAAGGAAGGAAAGAGTGGAGAGGAGGAGGACAAGGTAGCGAAAGAGAGGAGGTGAGACGAGAGGGGAGGGAAGCAGAGAAATGCCAGATTGCTCCCCTCTGCGGTCACACGCGGCATCTTAAACCCACATCCCCAGACCACAGAGAACACACAGCCCAGCCCAGCAAAACAAGACAGATATTAAAAATAATCATAGTTAGGACCTTGGAAAAGTTCAAAACAACCTGATTGCCTATATTTAAACCATAAGCAAACAGGGGTTTGTGGTGGAGAGGTGTGTGTGTCAGAGGGGGGGCACAGGGAGGGGACCATTCCTGAAATAACACCTCTGCTTTGCCAGAATGCACAGAGAAATGGAATGGAGAGCTTGTACAATCCCAAATACAAGGGTACAGGGTCAAAATAACTAAATATATCAGACTTGAAAGAAATAGGACAATAACTATTTTATAGAGGGGTTAAATTCAGGTTCTATAACCAGATATTAGAAGAAGATGATTCTACAGCTTCCTAATCTGTATTTTATGGCTTTTGTGTAGCAGACAGAGAAATGTGAACTCTTAATAACTAACTGGCCCCGAATCTGACCCCACTATTACTGTCTTAGTGTAAATTGGCAGATATTATGGGGTGAATGAGTAGGCTGTCCGTATAAATGGGTAGACTTTCAGGATCTCCAGAATAATGGACAGGTTGTTTGATTGAATGGACAGAATCTTGGGTTATCTGGGTGAAAGAGCAGATTCTAATGGTATCTAAGTAGATAGGAGGATTTGCATCTTGGTGATTGGACTGATTCTCAGCATTTCAGTGTGAATGGACCGATGCCTATGGTCTTTGGTCAGGATCAATTAGTAGATTCCCAGGATGAGTGAGAAATTATTTGAGTCTAATGCAAACTTTTTTTACTCTTTGAAGATATGTTTAAATTCTAAATGTCCCAGGGAGACGGGTGGTTTCTCATTGTCTCACTGTGAGTCACAGGTTTTCTGGGTTTGGGGGAAATGGATAGCTTCTCAGCGTGAGTGGACAGATTCTCAGTGTCTGAGAGTGAATGGATGGATTCTCTCTGTGCGCATCAGAAGATTTTCTGAATCTGAGGGAGAATTGTTGAATACACGTAACACAATTAAGGATTTGAGGGAATTTGAGAGTTTAGGGTGTACATAAGACATTTGGATAACATAAATGCTGTGTCACAGCCTAGGATCTTCACAGTGTGCTGTAAGAAGGTTAAATGGACCTCTTAGCACCATAACAACTGCAATGCTTTGTAGTGCTTATATCCCAGGTGCCATCACAGGGTAGGATATCAAATTGTTAACAATCTGATGCCCATACTCCTTCCGGTCTGAATAGATATACTAAAACCAGATTTCATAATTTTACATTACTGTATCATCTTTTGTCTTAGCATAGCCATGCAGGCCTGATAGATTGCAGACGCCCAACAGAGACAGGTAAATGGCAAACTGTCTGTAAGCTAAGCAGTTAAACTGCTTACCCTGGGGTGGCACCAAGGTGATTCCCAAGACACTGCATACTCCAGTAGTTATAGTTGTAGAGTATCCCTTTAATGTAATTATGCTATTTCAGAACATCTTGTGATCAACTCAGAAAATATACTAGTATGGATATAGTTAAAGGGACACTATAGTCACCAGAACAACTACAGCTTATTGAATTTGTTCTGGTGAGTAGAATCATTAGCTTCAGGCTTTTTGCTGTAAGCACTGTCTTTTCAGAGAAAATGCAGTGTTTACATTACAGCCTAGTGATAACTTCATTGGCCACTCCTCAGATGGCTGTTAGAGATCCTTCCTGGGTCATGGCTGCCTAAAATGCATCCAAACATTTAGTATCTCCTCCCTCTGCATGCAGACACTGAACTTTCCTCATAGAGATTCATTGATTCAATTCATCTCTATGAGGAGATGCTGATTGGCCAGGGCTGTGTTTGAATCATGCTGGCTCTGCCCCTGATTTGCCTGTTTGTCCGTCTCAGCCAATCCTATGGGGAAGTATTGGATCAGGCTACCACCTCTGATGATGTCAGCAGACTGCTTGTTTTTCTGAGTTTAACAGCATGCAGAGTTACAGCTTCAGGCTTGAATACAGTAAGATTTTTACTATATTTATGGAGGCATGAGGGGCCCAGGGGGCTCGATGGTGGTTTTAACACCATAGGGTCAGGAAAACATGTTTGTGTTCCTGACCCTATAATGATCCTTTAAGTAATAGCTCATCTTCGCACCGCTGATATTGTGAGTTACTTGTCCTTTGATGATCAATCAACCTTTAGGATATAAGTAAGCAGTGGGTGGTTAGATGGATGGAGAGAGAAAAACCGCGACAGACAGAGGAAGTTCGAAAAACAGATTACATTAACCAAGTGATAATTCTGTCACACCATTGGTCAGTGTGAATTGTTTTAAGAAGTCTGATTCTCAGAGATCTTCCTGAAACAAGTGCTGACAGGTACTCACTCCCCTCCTGGCACCCCTCCTGGCACCGCAGACCCTCTCTGCATAGCTCGGTATTTGTGATAGGGGTTTTGTTTGTGATTCTGGGTTTTTATTTGTGGATTTTGGGATGCGGGAAGCATCAATTCCCAGGATGGATTTGATTCATTCTGCTCACTCTATATTCAGTTGGTTTTTTTTACTTCCTGTTTTCATGATTATTTATTTTTTATAACTCTGTGGTTTTTGTTATGTTATTTTTATAAACAGTAGTTATTATTATATCTTTTACTAATATTATGACAGCAAAATAAATATATCCATTATATTTTCAAATTGAATTCACGTAGTAATCACAATAAGATATCAGTTTGTCTCCGCTAGTATTTGTCTATCTACCTATCTATCCATCTGTCTGTCAATCCGTCTGTCTGTCTGTCTATCTGTCAGCCTGCCTGTCTGTCTGTCTATCTATCTATCTATCTGTCTCTGTCTGCCTGCCTGCCTATCTATCTATCTATCTATCTATCTATCTATCTGTCTGTCTGTCTGTCTGTCTGTCTATTTATCTGTCTGTCTATCTACCTATATACCTACCTATCTATCTGTCTGTCTGCCTGTCTGTCTGTCTGTGGTTGTCTCCAGAATCACAAGATGGCATAAGATTTTTCAATACACAATTTGTAGTTGTGTAAATAAAAAGTGTAAATTAATAGAAAATGAAACAAAATATCTTAAATGCATGTTCACAATCCCTTAAATCATACACACCCAGTTTGCCTCGTCATCATTCAATGCCATGTCGTCAGTCCTAGTGGTACCCAACATAGCTCACTGTGGATTATGTTTCGTTATCCGCTGGGGTGTGCAGTTATAATGTGCATACATGGTATGACCGATATTTTTGAAGTGAATTTCTCTCATCCTGTTAAAAAGCTGCCAAGGTTAATAATCAATGTAGCATTGGATATCTTAAACATAACGTGTATTAAAGCCGCCTGATGACTGTGATTACCGTAGCACCCTTTTATTTGTCTCCAGTAGAGAGCTTATACCTGCCAAATCGTCCGTCCCCCCCCCCCCCTATGAAATTGGGATGTCAGGGTTCCGGGCCTGATATGTGTAGATCTGTATCTGCCATCCGACCCGTCCACAGAGGACAATTCCCACACATCCAATGTTATTGGGTTACATATATTATTATTGACCAGCCCCTGGAATCATTATAACAATGTAGAAATAGTGTTTTTCCATCCTATAGTCTGATTCTCATTTTTTATTTAATCACCTAATATTCACCTTCTTAGGTGATTTACGGCTGACCATGTACCATGAGATTTATAGCAGCTGCCTTTTGGCTACCCCTGGTCTAAACGGAAGCAAACCATACGAAGCCCGTTGCCATGCTAGCAAAAACTATTTTTATTATACAGGGAGAGCATGATGTGAATTGTAGTCTGTGGTAGATGCAGGGACAGAGGTAACAGTCTCTTCTGTGTCTTTCTATGTGTCTCCTTCATCCTTACATGGATACTCCACCAACTTTTAAGCTGACTTCCCTGCTATAATTACAGAGTTTATTTATATCAGTAACCTCTTCCTTCATAGGCTCCCGGCTCCTCTGCAGTGAAGGTACTTATTGTGCCGATTTGTCCCTACTGGGTTTGTGTGACTCTTTATGTGAACCACAACCTTCGTCTCTCACCGCAAACCTGTTTTCCTTCACCATTAGCCACTGTGCTCAGGTGAAGCCGCTTTGGGGTTTACCTTCCACACTTCACTGTGTATAGTGAGGACACTGTGTATCAAGAGCTGCTTCATTAACTCTAATTCTCATCATCACCAAGAACCCATGGACTCTTGGCATCAAACTATACCCTCGCTGCTCTTTATTCGAGTTGAACTGCAAATCTCAATAGCCTCAGCCAGGCCATGGAGCTCTGTACCAAGAATAAGCACCATGTTTAACTCTGACTGTTCACAAAGCAATTCCCAGGACCCTCATTCATCCATAGCTAGAACAACATTTGTAATATATCAGCATATTCCTGTTTAACTCACTGAATGCCAGGTGGAGTGAGTGCATCATTTTTTTTAAAACACCCGTTTAGCATTGATATAACAGTAGATCACTGTTTAAACATCTTGGAGGATTTACATAAAACATTATATTTTAACCGTATTCTTGGATTATAATTTCTCTTCTCTCTAATTCTACGGCCGTCAATAAATCTTTCTAGAGTCTCAACTTACCTTTTGCTGTAAGAAGCATTATAGGCGTAGACGTCATACATACACTTCCCTGACTCAGGGCTCCATTGAAACCGTTATATTTAGAGGTTGCCAGACAGCAACACTTTGATGTGGTGTTTTTATGAGGGAGAGGCAGAAAAATACATATTCAAAGAGAAATTATATACCTATAAGCAGGGACTCTTGGCCAATATAGTAAAAAGTAAAAATATAAAAACAGAGGTAGACACTTGTATTTAGTTTAAAATTAAACAAAATGACACTACCATATGTTTAAAATAAATTAGTCATTGATTTTTTTTTTTTATTTCAAAGCTATGTATTTTAAATTGCTACTTTGTTGTGACTTTTCTACCGTTCTTTCTCCAGAACATTCTGCTGCAGCCAAGACTGGTGGCTGCTTCCCAGCGAGCGCCACGGCCACCATAGAATCTGGGGAGAAGTTGCCCGTGTCTGACCTGCGCCCTGGCATGAAAGTTCTAGCCATGGACAGTGATGGCCACTTCACATACAGTAGTTTCCTGACATTTTTGGATAAGAATACTCATGTAAAAAGTCTGTTCCAGGTGATAAAGACTTTTGACCCTCCTCGACAGCTTTTCCTAACTCCATCACATCTCATATTCGTGGCAGACAATTTCACCAGCAAGCCTACTGATTTCCAAGCAGTGTTTGCTGGCCGTGTGACACCAGGGCAATATATACTAGTCTCAGGTGTACCAGGCCTCTTACCAGCAAAGGTAAGCTCAGTGAGTACGGAAACAGACATTGGGGTCTATGCTCCCCTCACCCAACACGGGACAATAGTGGTGGATGATGTAGTAGTTTCCTGTTTTGCACTGGTACAAAAACAGAGGCTATCTCAACTGGCATTTTGGCCCCTCCGAATATTTTACAGTCTAGGAGTAATGGGAGGTAATCAATCATCTCAACTGGATGGTCTTCACTGGTATAGCCAAGCTCTTTATAACTTGGGCAGAGTAATACTTCACAAAAGTGAGTTCCATCCTCAGGGCATTCTTCAACTAGAGAGCTGAGTGTGAAATTAGAGGTTTAAACATCAAATAAAGATTTCTTCTGAATGCTACTGTATTGGGTACATTAACAGTATCATTCTATTTGGTCTACTGATCCTTCCCGAGAGACACCCCTGTAGATTACTAGAAGAAAAGGGAATAAAGATACAGTGAAGGATAATAGTGATATACATCTCTGATACAGTAGTTGAATAAGATGTGGGACATCTCTAAAGAAAGCTCTTTAGATGCCATTGAAACAAGCTTCCAATATAAGACTCGCATAGAATGAATGATCTGGTCATCTTATATAGAGTGCCAGGTCACCACAATGGTACCACAAGAGCAATGTGAAAAAGTAGCTACCTATTTACCGAAGTATCATGAATGACCATGTGGCAACCTCAAAACTAATCACATTTCCCAGGATATTGAATTGCCCAGTCAGGATTTGTAGTTCTTTTTTTTTCTAACAATTATATAAATTCCTTCACAAATTACTTGACAAACTTAACAAATCAATGAATAAGTACAGTTTGGAAACCCACGTGGAGAAGTCTGTTGTTGCTTAGTCTTTCAAGGTACTAATTCACTGAGACACTGACATCTCGTAGTGATGATTTTGCCTGCCATTTTTACTTACTGGTTCTAGGCTTTCTGCTGCTAATGGGTTGTATTTATACTAGAACAGACATTATCCTCAATAACTCTATTGCTTGCAGTTATTTATATTGCAGTAGATTGAATCGTTTTGTATAATCAAAAGGAAAACTTACCCTTATTCATTAGACGAGACAGAAAAAGGATCTGCCGTCTTTCCCCGAAAATAAGACCGGGTCTTATATTAATTCCCCCCCAAAAAAACCGCACTAGGGCTTATTTTCGGGGGAGGTCTTATTTTGGGGGAACACAGTAGTAGATGGAGTGGAGTCTTCATTAAATTAAAACCCCATGTCTTTAGTTTGCTTGCAGGTACGGTTTTAATGAAAGAACAATGAAAAATAAATATTTTACAAATTTTTTTACCCGAATTCCATAGTTTGAAAAGAGAAACATTGAATTGGGAAATTTAAGAGTGCTAGCAGGAAAACCATAGAATTCTCACCATTTGTCACTTTAATAATTCTTTACTATATTTCACATAGTGAACAGACTGGCTCAGTACCTTATTATAGCTGTCCCATTATTGCAGGTAGACAGGTCAGCACATTAGCAAAAATTTGAGGCTCCAAAATAAATGGGCTCCAAAACAGCCAAAAATTGTGATAATGATCTATCGCAGCTGGAATGCGACAACAATCTTATTGTTCTTCTCATTAGCTAATACAGAAGTCAAGATGTAATGAGTAACTAACATTTCTACTGACGTTGTCCATTGCGAACATGAAAACAATTGCTCAGAGTTAGAGATCCCATCTTTGATTAGTAGCTCACTCAAAAATAACTTTTTGTTTTACATCTGTCCATCGAGAACCATGAAGCTAAGACTCAGCTGGGCACATGAGCAGACACATAGATGAGGCCAAAGAAGTGGCAGACCAAAACATAAACAATGGCACACAGATTTACCCAACAAGCAGCAAGTAGTCCTGTCCAACGCACTTTCTTATCCACCCCAATGGTCTTTAGCGGTAACCCTCAGACGAGAAATTCTGACTCATGAGTTATCTCTGTGTTTCTCCAGATAACCCTTGTGGCTATATCTACAAAAGAATGTTTTAACCTGAGTTAATACTGTGTTCTAACCTTTTACATCCAGATTTTCACACTACGTGCAGTGGCACTCCTGTTGAAATAGATTGTGCCCCCAGAATGACTACCATGTGCTTGATTTAAATAGGGCATTGTATGTGATCAAATAGTGTAGAAAACATCAATGTCCAGGAGATGTTTCAGTTATGACCATGGCCAGATCAGAAGGTTTCAAATCTGCTCCTGCCCATGACATGGTAGCTGACCCTTTGTCTTTTGTAGTCCTTTCATCACCTAGATTAAAATCAGAAAGCCTTTTCTAGATACACCATGATATCAGAACATACACTGCATGCCCTGACTATCCAGAATAACTAGGGACCATCTCGACTTCCAAGAATCCCACGTTCCTCCAAAGTCAGAAAGATTCACCTGTTCTCAATCCATCTCATTCCTTATTTATTTTAATATGCAAGTGTGTACTATAGGTGTATAAATGTTTCCTGTTTATATATAAATATATAATGAAGAAAATGTTATTAATATTATATTTCTGCCAGTACTTACAGGGAAGTGGAAGATTTTTTTAAAAAAAAGTAATGAAAATTATTTAAGATAATTGCTAATGTTCTGCATATTGTGGAAGATCAGTGTAAAGAGGCCGAGGCCTGCAGCGATTATTATGTTCTGTGTTCAGGATTAAATCTGATGTCAAACTTGTTCCAGCTCAATACAATTACATTCTGACTTTTATTACAGCTTTGTGTGTGTCTTTTGTGTTAAAAAAAAAAATGATGCAAATGTCACAAATACTTCTGTTTTCCTCTGCCATTCCTCTTACTCTGTCTATCTATCTATCTATCTATCTATCTATCTATCTATCTATCTATCTATCTATCTATCTATCTATCTATCTATCTATCTATCTATATGTCTGTCTATCTGTCTATCTATCTATCTGTCTATCTATCTCTCTATCTATATGTCTGTCTATCTATCTATCTGTCTATCTCTCTATCTATATGACTGTCTATCTGTCTATCTATCTCTATCTATCTGTCTATCTACTTATCAATCAATCAATCTGCCTATCTATCTATCTATCTATCTATCTATCAAATACATCAGTCTTGTCTTGTCATCTGTCGATCGTCTGTGTATTATCTATCTCTGTATCTATAGAGGTTTGGATGACTCACATACAGATGGCTTCTTGACTTGGGAACTTCAAGGCCATGTTTCCCCATTAAACAAAGTAGTCATGTGCTCAGGGAAGGAACACCTGAGATTTAAAGGCTGCCAGGGAACGTTAAACTGTGAACACATGCTGAACGAAGGACTTCGGCTGTGTGAATTTACATAGATCCACAGCACTGATACCCAGAGTTCTATTCTCCACATAACTCAGGTAACTATTCACAGAATTATTATTTACCAGACCCATCTAGAAAGGCTGCCAGGAATCCTGCAACATAGGAAACGAAAGCTGGCAAAGCATCATATTGAGAGAGTTGTAATTCTACAATATGTAGAGTAACCTATTGGTCAAACCTGGTCCTAGGAAGTCACTCTGTTATTTAGTAGTGGGGTCGTAAGATGCTGCTTAGGGAATGTTTCAGAGAAAATGTAAAATAATATTTAAGATTATATATAATAAACATTCCAAAATATTTTTAAAAAAAATCTAAATGTGTTAAGGACCATTGAGGCCTAATATGCCACATTTAGGACTTCATCCCCCAAAAAGTTGCCAATGATTAATTGGACTGTTTTTCCTGCATCGCCAATCTAAAGGTAAGTTAACGGCAGCAAACAAATGTTATTCTCTCCATTGTAGCAGCATTCTGGTTACCTGTAAGTTTAGCATTATATTATTTTACAGCTGTTTGTAAATCATCAAGCTCCTTAAATATAAACCCAGTTCCGTCTGGCAAAATTTACGTGTGCCTCAATAGTACCTTTTTTTGACCACGTGGAGGTTGTTGGAAAAACAAAGGGCTCATTTACATCCTTTTTGGTAAATATCTACCGTAAACTGTCACTAATAAAGGCTTGCTCCAACCACCATCACAACTTCTGCTTTAAGAAGCCAGTAATTGGCAGCAACAGGGTTTGAAACCAGTTGGAAATCAGTCAGTCGCTAAGTAGTGGTTAGTGGTTCTGTAGAAAAAAAATGGGAGCTACTAGCCACTACTGAAAGCTAGTCGCTCCAGTGACTCCCTGTTGCAAATGTTAAGATTTTGCAGTTAGTAACCAGCTGGCCAGGAAAAATCAGATACAGGGTTGTAAACGAGTGCAAAGATTCTGAAAAATATTTAAGAGTAAAAAAACAAAACAAAAAATGAATTAACATATATGACATATTTGGCACTCAACTGAAAGACACAGTGCGGCATCATAAATAATAACAATGTATTTATTTTTTAAATAATGTTTTAAATAAAATATATTGAAATAACTGCAAAATTAATTTCTTTCACTTTAGTTTCTACCAAATCAGAGCCTACTGTTATGTCCTTCATTCCCTGAGCAGAACCAAATTCTACCCCCTCCCCGGCAGAGCCTACTGTTACTTCCTTTGTTCCATGTGCAGAACTAAATGCTATCCCCCGCCCGCCCCACCCTGCAGAGCCTACCGTTACATCCTTCCCTGTACAGAAACAAATGCTATCACCTCCCCTGCAGAGCTAACCCTTCTATCTGAAAATCCTATGTATGATTATTTCCATCGTCAGAACCTTGTGATAAGTTGATCCTAACTTCCCCCTATTGCTATGCTGCTGCTGGCCCTCCCCATGCAGTACCTATTGCTGTGCTGCTGCTGGCTCTCCCCATGCAGTACCTATTACTGTGCTGCTGCTGGCCCTCCCCATGCAGTACCTATTACTGTGCTGCTGCTGGCCCTCCCCATGCAGTACCTATTACTGTGCTGCTGCTGGTCCTCCCCATGCAGTACCTATTGCTGTGCTGCTGCTGGCCCTACCACAGTACCTATTGCTGTGCTGCTGCTGGTCCTCCCCATGCAGTACCTATTGCTGTGCTGCTGCTGGCCCTACCGCAGTACCTATTTCTGTGCTGCTGCTGGCCCTCCCCATGTAGTACCTATTGCTGTGCTGCTGCTGGCCCTCCCCATGCAGTACCTATTATTGTGCTGCTGCTGGCCCTCCCCATGCAGTACCTATTGTTGTGCTGCTGCTGGCCCTCCCCATGCAGTACCTATTTCATGCAGTACCTATTACTGTGCTGCTGCTGGCCCTCCCCATGCAGTACCAATTACTGTGCTGCTGCTGGCCCTCCCCATGCAGTACCTATTGCTGTGCTGCTGCTGGCCCTCCCCATGCAGTACCTATTACTGTGCTGCTGCTGGCCCTCCCCATGCAGTACCTATTTCTGTGCTGCTGCTGGCCCTCCCCATGCAGTACCTATTGCTGTGCTGATACTGGCCCTCCCCATGCAGAGCTTAGTGCTGCCTTCCTTCTGCAGATCCAATTGCTGCAGAGCCTAGTGCTACCTCCTAAGTTCCTCAAAACATTTTTCTGCCACCTCACCCTACTCTCCTCTGGTGCAGTAGTGCCTCCTGCAGATCCTGTTGACACCACCTCACCCTGTTGAGCCTAGAACTCCCTCAATACCTTTACATCATTGCTGACAGCTTTCCCTGCAGAGTCTAGTTCTATCACTCTTTCCATGCAGAGCCTCATTCACTCACCCCTGCAAATCCTACTGCCACCTCCTTCCTGCTGCAGATATTGTTTCTGCTATCGTCTCCGAGCATAGCGCTGCCTCAGTCAGAGCCTTCATTACCTACCCACTTGGTACTCGCATAAAAAGAACCTGTAGTGTAACGTTTCATGAAGATAAAATATCTCCTTCTACAAATACACAGCGTAGTGAATGTTAGCAATAAGTGCTCTTTAGTTTGTCCTGCAAAGTACATAGAAAAAGTCATGTAATTCTCTGAATAGAAATGTTAATCAATTATCTAAACATTATTGTTTTATACTTTCGAAATATTAACCCAGTGTGATATCTCTCCCCGCCCCCCCCTCCAGGGACACACACATATTTACAGGGTTATTCAATGCAATGAGAATTCAAAAAGAATTTCAAATTAAATAATTTAACCCCTTAAGGACACATGACATGTGGGACATGTCATGATTCCCTTTTATTCCAGAAGTTTGGTCCTTAAGGGGTTAAAGGGACACTATAGTCACCTGAACAACTTTAGCTTAATGAAGCAGTTTTGGTGTATATAACATGCCCCTGCAGCCTCACTGCTCAATCCTCTGCCATTTAGGAGTTAAATCCCTTTGTTTATGAATCCTAGTCACACCTCCCTGCATGTGACTTGCACAGCCTTCCATAAACACTTCCTGTAAAGAGAGCCCTATTTAGGCTTTCTTTATTGCAAGTTCTGTTTAATTAAGATTTTCTTATCCCCTGCTATGTTAATAGCTTGCTAGACCCTGCAAGAGCCTCCTGTATGTGATTAAAGTTCAATTTAGAGATTGAGATACAATTATTTAAGGTAAATTACATCTGTTTGAAAGTGAAACCAGTTTTTTTTTCATGCAGGCTCTGTCAATCATAGCCAGGGGAGGTGTGGCTAGGGCTGCATGAACAGAAACAAAGTGATTTAACTCCTAAATGACAGTGAATTGAGAAGTGAAATTGCAGGGGAATGATCTATACACTAAAACTGCTTTATTTAGCTAAAGTAATTTAGGTGACTATAGTGTTACTTTAAGGTCAAAACTGGAAAAATGCTCTAGGTCAGCAATGCTTTCCGGTTGCCCTCAAGTACAATCATCACCGCTGTCACATCTCGGATTGTAGCTGTATATGTGGAAAAACAAAGACTCTGCTGCTCTCTTGAGGGATAAAAAGAGATTGCAAAAATCACAAACAATCCCAACAAATCCCATTCCTAGAACTGCTTCTCCCATAGTAATACAATAGAACTTTAATGAGTATGCCTCTTAAATCATTTATAACACCTCTGATCAGCTTCATATTATCTGATTTCTGATCATTTTAATCCTGTGTAGAAATATAAGCCAGACATTTGAAATACAGATGAGTTATTGTGTACTGTGTTTTGTAAACTCTGTTTTCAATTCCCCACAATTTACTAAATAGTCAGGGTTTAGACTTTTATTAATGCCTGTGAGGTCTTAGAATGTCTGTGTTTCATTGCACTCAGTGACTATGAGAGCATACCAGCACGAGTTTATAGAATGCATTGCAAATAGCTATCACTGTGCAGCAACTGACTGATTTCACCCACAGTCCTGCCATCATTTGAGAGCTTCAAAAATAACAATGGAGAACTTAAAACTGCAAAATGTTGGATTTATACACGTAACTGGAAAATGAAACGGAAATTGCAATTTGTAGGCCAGAATATGCAAATTTGATAGATTCCTCAAATTATTTGTTTTTCCAATTTGCCTATTTTTGCCTACAATTTGCAATACACTTGTCAATTCTTCTCAATTCCCAGTTTGGCAAATAAACCCCTGTTTTTTACATTTGAAATCCCTGACTGTCTACACATTACCCAATTACACCTCAGGTATTCCAGCAAAATCAATGTAGTTTTATGTGTCAGATTCCACACAAATTATAGGAATGTTGACATGTGTCAAAAAGTAAATAACATCCAAACTAGCCCTCCCTTCAGATGGAGATTTAGTGATTGTATTTTTCAGGCAAATTAAGATAAATGAAAGAGACTTTAGCCAAATAGTCTTCTCCGCAACTAAGAATCAAAAGCTATTTAAAAACAATTTAATAAAAATACAAACTCATTAGAAAAAAAACTAAACTGAGCATTGTCTGGTTCCCATGACCACTTATATTAAGGAGAATGCCAGGACTCCAATGTGAGGATGTTCAGGAGTACTCATTGTAGCAGCCCGTTAGTAAAAGTAGTGGATGCAATGGGATAGACTGAAATTGTAATAAATGCAAAGCAGTTACTAATCAGATCAATGTCCCTTTATTCCTGTAGTTAATGTACATGGCAATCAAACATATATATGAGGTTCCTCCCATCCATCTCCTGTGCTGTGAGATGAGGGCAGATAACGATTGGCCTTCGCTCAGGACCTCCTGTCAACAATGGGGGCCTGCCTCATATTCTCTAATATTCCGACATCTGGATTGTGACTTGAAAATAAATGTTTATTAATGTCCAATTTTTAGGAGATTATTAACACCCATAGACATGCCACCCATAAACCTCTCCCCTACACCAGGAAAGTGCCAGATGTATGCACAATACTACCAACACTAGGCTGTAAAAAATAAGATGTCTTTTTAATAAAGATTAAATAAAACTATGCAAATGTACAGTTACCCACAAATCCTGGTCAGCAACCCACAATTCCTGGTCGGTTCTCCACAGTCCCTGGATGGTGACCCACAATTCCTAGTTAATTACCCACAATTCCTGGACAGTGACCCACAATTCCTGGTCAGTGACCCACAATTCTTGGTCGGTTCTCCACAGTTCCTGGACAGTGATCCACAATTCCTAGTCAAATACCCACAATTCCTGAACAGTGACCCACAATTTTTGGTCGGTTCTCCACAGTTCCTGGACAGTGACCCAAAATTCCTAGTCAAATACCCACAATTCCTGGACAGTGACCCACAATTCTTGGTTGGTTCTCCACAGTTCCTGAACAGTGACCCACAATTCCTAGTCAAATACCCACAATTCCTGGTCAATTACCCACAAGTCTTGATTCTCCACAGTGCCCGGACAGTGACCCACAATTCCTAGTCAAATACCCACAATTCCTGGTCGGTTCTCCACAGTTTCTGGTCAGTTACCCACAATTCCTAGTCAATTACCCACAATTCCTAGACAGTGACCCACAATTCCTGGACAGTGACCCACAATTCCTAGTCAATTACCCACAATTCTTGGTCGGTTCTCCACAGTTCTTGGAGAGTGACCCACAATTCCTAGTCAATTACCCACAATTCCTAGTCAATTACCCACAATTCCTGGTCAGTAGCCCACAATTCCCAGTAAGTTACCCACAATTCTTGGTCAGTTACCCACAATTCTTAAACGGTTCTCCACAATTCCTGCTCAGTTACCCAGAATTCCTGTCCAGTTACCCAGAATTCCTGGTATGAGTATTCCTATTTATTATGAAGTAGTACTAATAAGGGATAAAGTTTGCTTTTTTGGGATTAAATGTGAGATCAAATAAAGAAGTTGAATGTATTAATGCAAATCTGTTAGAGCACCACTCCAAAAATTTCATAAAGATTATTATTATTATTATTAGCTTTTATATAGTAAGCGTACTGCACTGACATGGGCGCCAGACAGATGAAACACCAGGAGCTGAAGAGGGTACGTGGGACAGCCATGTCCGCTGTGTTCAGATAAGTTAAACCTAACTTTCTCTGCACCACAGGGGTACCGCACTGCAAGTGGCAAAGTCACCACTGGGGGTCTTTGGAAAATATGCAAAGACCCCAAACGATGACAGAACCACTTTAAATAAAAAAAATAAAAAATGAAATTATTATTTATAAAACAATACATTTAAAAAAAAACAAACAAACAAAACACTTACACAATATAAAATGTGAATACATTCAGTTTTATGGTTGTTTTTATTTTTATTTTTTTTCTTTGACAATGAAAGGATAAAAAGATCGGCATTTTTATTTTATACTAACGGTATTAATTACTGAAGTTAAAATTGTTAGGAATTCAAAGTGAATTTAAATACAGGACCAAGTCAAACAATCTGGAAGCATTGCTGACTTGGATACGTTTTAAATGTGAAATCCCCTTTGAATGTCCAGTACTTAGTTTGGAAAATAACTCTGTTTGAGGTTGTTATAATAAGCATTTCTGACAATGAACAGCAGGGGGCAGTCTACCACTGCTAATAATGCTGCAGATTAGCTATTATTATTTTACTGGTATTTATATAGCGCCAGCATATTCCGTAGCGCTTTACAATATTATCAAAGGGGGAAATTTAACAATAAATGAGACAATTACAAAAACTTACAGGGACAATAGGTTGAAGAGCTTACAGTCTATAGGTACAATTTTAAGTTCTGCTTTTAGGATGAACTATTGATATTGGAATAAAAAATGATGTATTTGTTTTATAATTGTTATTTATCACAGATTCAACATATAACAAACTATATCATATTCCATAGTGCTGTACAGAAAACTTTGATTTCCATCATTCTTAATTTAGAGTCTATGGAATAAGCCTATTAATCTCTATGAAACATTCATATTGACTTAAGTGGAATTATATTTAAATTTCAACACAATAGGAAGATATGATCAGAAAAAGTAGGGACAAGAATGACAAAGTTGGCAAAAAAACAGATCTTTAAAGAAGCCTCTGCCTTAAACACTTCTTCCATATCTGTCTCTGTTCCACTCTGGTGTGTGCAACGCATTACAAATACAGCAGTAATGGTGGCAGTGGGGGACCCATGAAGAGGTCGCCAGCGCAAATGCTCCCTCCGAGAAATCAGGGGCAGTTATGTCTGGCCAGCAGAATAGATTGAATAAATAGCCAAACAAAACAAATGACTGTGGTCATGTTTTATATGTGAATCTCTGTATCTATGTCTGTGTGTTTGTATATGTCTGTGTTTGTATTGTATGTGAATGTCGATATTTGTGTTTGGGCATTATCTGTGTATGTTTGGGTGACGATGTAGGTATTTGTCACTGTATCTGTGTTTGTAAGGGCATGTATCTGTTTGTGCCAATATACGTGTCCATATTCCAAAGATGAAATCTGACACTAAATCCAATACTGCCCTGTCTGAATTTGGATAACAGATTCTGGAGGATGAAGTACAAGGATCAGCAGACAGACCCCAATGGAGAGCTTCATGTAGTAATAATATTTCCCTTGTAGCCCCCCTGGCCACAGCAATGCAAGCAGCCATGTAACCTGGAGGTGTCCTTTTTATGTTTCTCTCATGCAATAGAATCCCTACCTATACCTTTAATATATACATTCTAATTCCCTGATCCTTTTCATTTACAGTTTATCCAGTCCAGTGGGTGATTTTTCCATGGATGTACTTGATGGTGGCTGCATGCTTTTTTTTTAATGTCCTTTGATGATCATAGAGCATTGTTTTGTCAGGGTAGTAGTGGATGTATAGTCAGTTATCCCAGATGAGGTGGTAGAACAGTAGCAGTGATGTTATTTTACCTGATGTATCTTCTCACTCGGGTAGGTCTTTGAAGATCTTGCATATGCGGAATTTGGGGCGCATGCCAGGCATTTTTATGTTTAGAATATAAAAAAAAAAAAACATGTTTAATTATTTTCGTATAATATAGCAGGCTAAAGACAGTAAGAGTTTAGGTCCACAATTACTGAAGTGCCAGTGTTTGCGTATTACATTCTCAAGTCTTTCAGAAAAGGGTTCATCCCAGGGGGTGGAGGGGGGTTAAACAGATACTATTTAACTGAATACAGGGACATGGGGACAGGGGACCATCTGATCTCCTGACATATAACGAAGCACCCTGCTGATGAATGGCTATTAGTGGGGGGTAGGATAAAGCCTGAATAGGGAGACACAATCGTTAATTTGTTCTCATTAGCATGACAAAAATCCAACACAGATATATTATGTTAAACGCATGACCCCACCCTGGCCTTCCAACATCTGTGCCAGACACCAAGAAAGTTGGGATCAACTTCTGCTCTCCGCACTCGCTCCGAACAACTGGATCCTCTTCACATGCCAATCCAACCCGTTACTGCCATGGTTAATAGATGGGCAACAGTCCTGTGTGTTAACTGGAACATATCCCATATTACAGGTTAGGGGAGACTGCTCATCTCCCTTACTTTATTCGGTCAAAACCAGCAAAGGGATTAGCAATTTTTTTTTAATTAGAATTGTAACCTGTTAGCTCCTTCGCTGGCTGTTTTAAATTCTCCTCTAAACGAAGTTTAATGTACGCGCCCCAATGTTTAATGTACCCGTGGGTGGGGGGAATGATTTCGTGCATTGCCTGGGAACTCTTTCCGTCTTATTTAATATCTTTCCAGGTATATGTAATAGGTGATACAGCATATTCTCCAAAAAACAAAAACAAAATAGTTTATTCTTTATTAATGTGTCTTAAGTAATGTCCAATACTGAAAGTTCTCTCATTTTCCAGTAACTTGCAGAACAAATATAAATACAGTGTTACAAATATGACACGTAAACTGATCAGCCACAACATTAAAACCACTGACAGCCTGGTAAAGGGAATAACGGGTGTACAAATCGATATCTGATAGCATGCAGGCAAGAAAAGAGCTCTCTAAGATCTGTAGAATTCAAATATTGCAACCGGGAAATCAGATTATTAACAATATAGATTTTATTCATAATATATGGGGGAAAAAAGCTTTTAAAAATGAATCAAAGAAACAAAAATATAATGTTTGGTTTTTTTTAATTGCGACCTAAACTTTACTTACAAAATATAAACGTAAAAAAGACAAGTTCGATTTTCTCTAGTGATTTCCTCATGGATTTACAGAATATAAATGTTGGTGATTTTTATCTTTAACTAGATAATTACCTCTTCTGATACAAAAAGTGCATCAGGGATCTAATATGAGAGAGAGGGAGAGCACTATAGCTATACTTGGGCACATGTGGTACAGCCCTATGCCTATTGACACACACTAAGATTTGCAATCCATCATATCAGGGGATGTCGGTCTAATTTAGCTAATCATCCATTCTTAACGCCTTTTAAACATGTAAATGAATGCCTCACTCATGTGAAAGTACAGCGCTGATTATACTGCAGTGAAGGCTGGCCACTTGGCAATAAAGTGTTAATGTGTCTTTAGAAACAAGCAACAACAGTGATAAATTGGCCAGCTATTGTGGTTAAGGGAGTAGCAGATGTGTTTGGGAGTGTGTTGGGTTCCAGGTCTCTCAATAGGTAGGAGGGCCAACAAGTACAGACACAGCAACAAACACTTGGGGGTCACGGCTGGGGGCTGTGCTGGGGTAAGGATCATGACTACTGGAGAAGTGATCACAGATGCCTGACCTGCACTTTCAATTTTCATTATCCTAATTAGTCTCCCAGCAGGAGGTACAATGAGAGATAAAGGTTTGCCCCAATTATCAAGCTGGGATATTGAAGTTCCTTAGGGAAATTGCCTTATGCCATATAATGGATTTACTGGGGATCCATGGAATGCATACAACGAGTGGGAACTAGTGGAATTGTATTTTGATTCTTATTGATACATTAGTTACTTTACCTGCTGGCCTATACACGTGCTTTTTTAGCAAATTCTGCAAAGTTTGTAGTTCCTGCGCATGCACAGTACTGATGTTAGTGCATGGTCCACAGACCTTGATTTGTCTGTTGAGTCTCCTGGGTAACTAGGAGCGTTATTTATCAAAGAATGAAACATATATTGGTGAGTTTGGGTCAATGTGGTTCCTTCAACTCATCAGAAATTCATTAGAAAATGTACTAACAAATTAAAAGAAGGTGAATTTTGTAGAGTTGTAACGAATAACAAAACAGAATTATCCCTGATTTGGGATAATTCCCAAGACCCCGAAGGACACAAAATTATCCAGGGGTGTATCAGATGCAGAATTAATACTAAACAGTGGGAGTCTATAAGAACCCTAATGACTGCGAACGACTTCTCTATTCTTTACTATCTTACACTCAGTGCGCAATGGGTGGGAGATTACACTCAGTGCGCAATGGGTGGGAGATAACACTCAGTGCGCAATGGGTGGGAGATTAATATTGAAGTTAAACATGTATTCCTAACGCTGTAGTGTTCTACTCCTGATTTAGATTCAGCCCCCACCCCCAAATTTAGTAAAGCATTTTACTTACCCTTTCTCCAGCGCCAAGATTCACACTGGCAGCTGCCCGCTCCGTGTTACGTGGGATCTTACTGGATGCAGTCTGATCATATTCTTCTTGTTTAGTCCGATGCTTCTCTTGGAGAAGAATTAGGGACAAGAAACGCATGCAATGGCAAGCCCCGTGCTCCTTCAATAGGGAAGCAGTGAATCCAATACTTCCCTATGATAAGCATTAGAGCACATTGCATGAGATTATCAAACGTCACAGAACCGAG